AACTTCTCTTGAGGAGAACTTTATACTTTTTTGTTGGTATCCTTGTGACCCTTGAATCAAATATTCGTTTATGTTGATCTCCTACCACGTAGCAACGGCTACATCCATCAATTTATTGAATATTCGTTTAACTTATGGCAATTAACGATGCGGCGGTGGGCGTTAGAAAACCCATGCCGAATGAGGTATCACTCGTAGAGGAAAGACTCATACCAAATGACGCCTCGTCTGTGTCGAAAGAATATAAGTTTCCTACCTACCACCTACGGAACTTTCGAGATACCGGCGCCCTATCATCATATAATGCCTTGTCACAGTAATGCTGGGCTCTGTTGTGGGAATCCCATTTCCGTAAGTACTCCAGGGGCCCTTTTTGGACTATAAAGTAACCTACATCTGATCAAGAACATGAGCTTCTCAGTTCAACAACTCTTGATCCTGTTAACAATCCTAGGGAAATAGGTGGTACAGCCAGAAAACGACTTATGGCCTCCTCAAGACCAGGATATTTTCTAAATCTGCCTTGCAGAAACAAAAACTATGTCAGGAGAGGAAACAACTACTTCCGGATATACAGGCGTCTAGTTGATTATTTTGCATGCTTGATTGACCATCGGACAATCTCAATATCGAACAATCTACTAGAATCTCTTCAGTATGTCGTTGAGGCTACCATTGAGGATATTCCAGAAGATGGTAAAGAAGAACGATTCCAAATCAGCACATTTTGCCCTAGATAGCTATAAGTTACCTAAGAGGATCAGAAGAGCGTCTCCTTGCTGGTAGATGAGTTAATACCTTGCAGACATGGTCTGACTTCTTCCTGAAATGTGATACTCATCTTCCTGATGAAGATATTTGATGGCTGACCGCTAAACAGGTCCTCACTAGATTGAGGAAAATATACCATAGTCTGTCAACCTTGCAGTGAATTTTTCTTGACTAGAAAATTCAGGCCGTGGTAGCACAGTATTTGCTCTACTATCAGGGCCCTTTACTGGCTCATCTGATATGAGATCAGTCACCAAATAAAGTAGTTGGCTCCATCAGAAAGCTGGATTCATTTGATCGAATTTTAAAAATGTGAGAAACAATAAACCCTCGTGAGTTACAGTGTATAGTCGAATAGATCCACTCACTGTAGACCTACCTTCTTACCTAGTGATGTTAATATCTACTGTTGAAGTCTCCTTCACCATTGAATACTTGGACAATGTGGAACACAGAAAATAAACTTCAGCGAGATCACCAAAGTATCCATTTAGCACAGTTACATTAATATGTTCAATACAGTTTTCTGCCATCCAGTTTGTCTTATTCTCTGTCGTAGATGTATCTTGATTTATGGTGTTGCTTTCGACGTTTTTTTTTTGCAGTTTGGTAGGAATTCAAAGACTTTCCTGCCTTTTATATTTTCAAGTTTGACAGCTTGAGAAATTTGTTCCTTCAACAAATAAATATAGCATTTCCTTAGCAACGATTACTAACCAACTATTAAAAATTCGTTTGAATACAAATGTATTTTCAGTTTTTTTATATTAATTTAAATATATTGTGAATGCAAGAACAGACTAGTGTGACATAAATATTTGTATGCAATGCAGGTATTAATGTAGGCGTATGCCTGCAGGCATATTAGTTTTCGACATTATTTCGGTGTTGTGTGGGTTTTATTCGATGCACTTATGAACAAAAAAGATAATTTGATAATTTCTTACCTGTTAGAACCATCATAACCTCTTGGTAAGCAAACTGACAAACCAATCTTCAGCTGTCTCAACAATTACTATTCTGTCTCATTTCTTTTTACATTTGTGGATTCCAAATTGGTGTGGTTGAGTAAACAGACAAAAAAATAACAATACCGTTGTTTCTCATATTTACAATCCCAGTAACGGACTAGCTTAGTATTTTCGTATTGTCTAATGAGTAAATATAAGATATCATGGTAGAGCCTTTACTATAATTTTTGCCACAACTCTTAAGTATAGAAATGTCCACAGCAAAAAAAATTCTCCAGAATATTCTATAAATGATATTTTTCATACAGAAATTTTTAGAGTTTTTCACCTGTCACAATCTGTGTTGATTGTTATACTAAGCTTTCTTTAAAAATAGCTGCTGCTTCGAAAAGCGGTCTCATTTCATTCTCAAAACCTAAAATGCGTCTATCGAAACATGAGCTACATACTGTGTTACACTATTGTAGATTTTATTAACTCTCACACCGTACCTCAGGAGATCTACTGCAAAAACAGTAAAACTGGCAACATTGAACATGACGCTCCTCTCGTGCGATTTTTTCTTCATTTGCAGTGGACCGATTCGCTATATTTCGCAGTCTGATTGCATCACGGCTTCGTTCGATCTTCTCGCTTCAGGCATTGTAAATAACAGTGTTACTTTGCTGACTCTGCTTTTATTTTAATATAATTATTGTTCATGCGCGCACAATCACAAATGTCATAACCTCAATTGTCTTTACGTGCACCCTGTCAAGTGTCATAAACCTCAATTGCTTTTCCACGTACAATGACAACTGTCATAACCTCACAAACGTCGTTATTTTGTTCAATCTTTAATTTTTCTCAATTTCTCAAATATTTCAATAGTTATTTTATTAATCCCGTCGGTAACAAATCCAACAAATTAAAAATTAGTCGAGTCGTTTTTGAATATATGGGGCAAGACATTGGGGTCGTAAAATTGCATCGATGCAAGATTTGAACCCTGAGTTACGCCAGAGTCGATTGGAAATGCATCTCAAATAGTAAGATATTCTGTATCTTTATTGAAAGGTAGACATTTTATACATGGCATGTTTTGTTTTTTAACATATATCGTGTTAGAAAAATACGGCTCTGTGAATAGAATGTAATTCCACGAGTTCATATTAAAATTACACTTATAATATTTAATTTATGACTGTAATTTATAACTGATAACAGTTTTATTACTGTTTAATTGAAGTGGGTTTTGGAGATACATCTGGAGTGACACAGAAAAAAAATAAAGAAAAAGGAGGTTGAGAGTTTGGCAGTGTGGATAATGTCGAAGAATTCATCAACGCGATATTATCACCTAAAAATAAGTTTAGTGCCAACAAACAGTTGATTTTTTATATAGTGTTTCATGATTAAATTGATTTATAGTTAAAAGGCCAGTACATGAAATTATTATTTTGATGATGTGTAATATTCACTAGGATATGAATGTCTTATTATATAGGTATTCTATCCCCCGAAACCCTGATACATTTAGGACGGCGTGCCAGCATTATCAACCAACGATCACTCCCAACAGTGCGGGGTAAGTGATCATTGGGTCCGAGAATCATTTGACCTGAATTAGCGCAGTGAGCCAAGAATGACAGCCTTCTGCATTTGTCCGGTTAAGATTCCTGCTTTAGTGCGGCAGATTCGAGAGTAGAGAGGGCATCATTCCACCAAGGACTCCAATAATCAGAACAACCATCTTGACAGAGTGGTCTGGATAGAGTCTCCATAGTTCGAAAAGAAAATCTCTATAAATTATCCGTTTATCCCCCTCTTTTTGGACGACACTCGTCTCGCCTGGAGCTGAAATTTTCCACGACAAAAATTGTCTTGCTCTGGTGGTCGAGAAAATCTAGGTCAGCCTCATTAGCTTGTATGAGCCTGAGGGTGGAGAATGAACAGTTTCAATAAATTCGGTACTTATCTTTCCCCACAATGAATTCAATATCCCCCGGAGCGTAGCGCAACACCGGTGTCTTGCAGGTGTCTATGTAGGACATGCTGATAGCAAGTGCATTACGGTCTCAGCCGCCTCGCAACAGGCCCTACACCTTGTGTCGGGACCTCTATACTGATCACGCGACTGCTGTAGACGAAGATGTTGAAGACACCATCCTGGCAAGCCATGATGAACCCCTCAGTTTCCGACTTCAGCCCACTTGACTCATCTTGCATTGACTCATCTTTGTGTTGCCGCAGGAGTGCAGTGATCTCTGCGGCTTTTATTTGGGCCTCTTGCTGGACGGGTTCCAATTCGGTTGTGATCATCTCGTTCAGTATCGAAAAATAAACGGAGTTCACCAGCTGCTAGGTAAGCTGCCCCAAAGAGAAAAGTTCCAATTCCTGCTCTCTCATGGTCGTGGGATCAGAACTCCTGACGACTTTTCAGGCTCCATCCAGTATCATTCTGTCATGTAGACACTCCAAGCTCAAAAGTCCACGGCCTCCCTGTTGTCCGGAAAAGCACAACCGTGGAACGGACGATTTGGGACGCAAACTCCTATGGATGTGCATCATTTTTCGGGTCATTGCGTCGGGTTGATACAGCTCCTGCCAATAGTCCCGATGACTGGATCTGTCGGAGTTTGTGCTGATACTTGCCGCGAAGAGAGTTCTTCACTGCTGTTGCTTCTTATGAGTGGCGTTGTTCCATCAGGAGGTATGTATACGTCTCTCCGGCATTCAGACGGTGCAGGATCCTCCATCTACAAGCTGCACATCCACTCCGTAGTCTCCGCGTCCTCCTCTTTTGAGATGGGCCGTTGCACATTTGTCTATCCCGAATTTCATACCGGTAGCATACGTGTACTCTTCTACCGCCCCCAAGAACATTATTATTATTTCCCATTGACATTATGAACATTATTATTATTCCCCATTGACATACTTCAAAAAAAACCGTTAAGAATATTTTATAGTCTGCCAAAGTTAGGGGCATGTGAATGAAGAATATCGGGAACTTAAACTTGGAGAAAAAGATAATCGTCAGTCCTTAGTAGAAGGTAGAAGAGTACACGCATTAGAACTGTCAAGAAAAAGAGTTGCTTCTTCAAATTTAAGAGAATTTGATAGGTGAAATGAAACCTCTGATGTAAAATGAACATATTGAAAATACGTTTCCTATACCAGAACAAAAATACTCCCTCTTGACGCGCGTCATGCATAACTGTATACTACTAGTTGAAATTAGTGTAATAAATCGTGACAAACCATTTTTTGTTCCAGGAACCCATGGCCGATCCCTCCATGAACGCGGCCGAGCTCAAGAAAGCCCTCGAATGGGAGCTATCGTTGGACAGCAGAGACCTCCGTTCGCACGCCTGGTACCACGGCGCCATCCCTCGCGCTCGGGCCGAAGACATCGTCAGGGAAGAGGGCGAGTTCCTCATCCGAGACTGTACCTCGCAACCCGGCAACTACGTCCTCACCTGCAGAACGAAAACGCACCCGCTCCACTTCGTCATCAACAAGCTGATCCTCCAGCCCGACACTGTGTACGAACGGGTGCAGTTCCAGTTCGAAGACGACGCCTTCGACACGGTCCCGGACCTGATCACCTTCTACGTGGGCTCGGGGAAACCCGTGACCGCGGCATCGGGCGCGAGGATTCAGGTGCCGCGGAACCGGATGTATCCCTTGTCGTTTTACGCGACCAAGTACCCCACGCCGCTGCCGCAGAGCAGGATGACGTCTCCGGCTACGACTCCGGTGCGTAACGGTTTGTTATTATATGATTATTTGCTGTTTTCTGGTTTATTATTCATGGTTTGTAGAATTGTGTGACTGGCGTTCCGTCTGCAACTGCAGCAAACATCAAAGGCGGTGCGCCAATGGTCGATATGCAAACTGAAAGAGGTATTGTTGTGTTCGCATTCATAATAGGATCGTGAGCAAGGATCCTACCTACTCGGTTCGACTCTTCTTAGGAGAGTTTGTGTGTTCTGAAGTGTTGATTTTAATTTTTTTCATATTTGAGCTCTCTTTCACCAGGAAGAGGAATATGTATGATTCAACTCCACTTTTCCTCTTTGGTGAGGTTATTCCATTTGCCACGGAGGTGAAATCTCAGTGTTATCCTTGAAAAAACCTCAACTGGATTGCTCGCTTGGAATAAGTTTTCCAGACTTTTCCTCTGGGCATTGAAGGGTTTGTGGCCATAGCGGCAGCTTCTTTCGTGCTCGGTCCAGCCACATTTTGCGGTCGGATCGACCACACAATTGCAGTCGCGTTCCAGCGAACTCAAGCCGCCCATAAGAAATACTGTACTACACGTACATGGGCGTTCACAAAAGTCAAAACGGGCGTCTGCAGTCAACTTGCTGCTGATCTCCGCCGAGATGTCATCGCGGCATCCGCCGTACACTAACCACAAACTTGCAGTCGTACCCAACCGCGTACACCGTGGTGTACTTTTTCTCATATTGGTTTCACAGCATTCAATTTTTGATGTCAGTTGCGTCAACTGCAAGTGCGGTTTATATGACCGCAAGTCGATCACAAAAATGTGGTTGGGTCAACCACGAAGTACAGTCAACGTGACCACAATGTTGTGGTTGCCTCAACTGCAAATATGTGGTCCGTGTACGGCCGGACTTAATCTTTTAGCTCTTCCAGTTTGCAGATACATTTTCCTGTTGAGACTAGTGGTTGGAGTCTCTCTTCAAATATCCTATATGGGATCGTTTTTCATATACAATATTCAACAATCTGCCATTCTCCCGTCCTTCCACTAATACATTCAGAGAAGCGATTCTTTTTCTCCCTTCTCCATCGTGGAATGAATTTTTGAGTTCCAGGAGTTCACCTATTTCAGAAATTTTGCCAGTCCTCTTCCCTGCAACCCCAAATCACGAAAGTATCATTAAAATATCGTTGCTAGCAGAAGGATCGGGCCAGCAAATGTTCTAAGAGCTCGTCGTTCAAATTGTTCCATGTAGAAATTGACAACTACTAGACTTCGTGGACTTTCCTATTGCAACTCCTTGTTTTCATTTCCCATTCCACTTGAAATATGTTGATGTTAGGAAATGTTCAAACAAGGTTATAATATAGAGAGGCAAGAATCCGATGAGTTTTGCTAACAGGGACTTGTGAACAGACGTACGACAACAAAACCCACCAACAAGACATTGTTGAAATTTTTTCATAAAATATCCAGAGCCTTTGAAGTACTCGTACTCGTTTTCCCACTAGTGACTAGATGAGTGAATGGACGCTCAAAAGCCCAAATCACTGCCAATACATCTGAAAATCATGAATATGCTAGGTACCAGGCCAAAACTGCCAGTAAAGTTTAGGTACATGTGATGTAATCAAAATCCAATCAATCAAAATTCCTGTTACAATGAATTCATATATCACTAGACCTATAACACAAAACAACATAATCAAGATTATATGTTACAGGTGGGGCATCAGTACCGGCACAGCCCGCTTTCACAGTACCGCCCTAGCAACTCGCCCACGCGCCCCTCCAGAGATGGCCCACCCCGACTGCCCTCGAAGAAACAGCGGTCCCAGTCGCTCACCCCCTCCGAGGTCAACAGGATCTCCCAGGAGAAGTGTAACAGCGCCGACGGAGTCATCCAATCACCGCTGATGACGCGCTCGGCCGGTGCCGAATCGGTCGGCTCGGGCTTGAAGTTCTCCTCGCACTCCCTCCCGCGCAACCCGCACAATAAACTCTCTCTGTCGTGTAGTGCGAACACGTTAGGTAGAAACAGCAGAGTGACTAGTGATTCGACTCTCTCGCCGTGCGCCGAGCGTAAATTTTTCGGCGAAAACGACTCGGGCGTTTCCGACTCTCCTCCACCGAAACCCTCGCGAGTTCCTAGCCTTCTGCGCATCGAATCCAAAGACTCGGATGTGATCGATGTGCGGTACGGTTTGGACGGTGGATTCGCTGCGCACGGCGGTCTGCAGCGCGTTACCTCCTACCACGCCTCCGGTTCGGACTCGGGTAATGGGTCCGGAGACTCGGCTATGAGCTCGGCGACAGACACTGGCGATTTGCCAAAGAATACCGGTGTGATACTTAAAAACCCTAGGTACAATTTATCCAATTCCGAATCTTCCACTACGCTGAAGAGCTTCGACATCAACTGGGTGGCGGCTGAGGAGAAGCTGATGCAAATGGAGCAGGTGGGGGTAGATCTTTCTTCCAGGTTCGATTTGGAAAACTTCCAAACCTTGTTGCTTCCCGTTCGTGAGAATAAGCCTCTGGACGCGCAGGCTTTGAGAAAGATTAGAATGACGCTGTTTGAATTGGGGCCGAGGATAATAGCTAACCACTTGACTAGGACTGATTTAGATTTAATATTCGGTAAAAAGGGTGACAATTCGGTAGGATCGAAGTTGGTCAGCGGGATTAGCCTTTGTGCACTGCCTCACGGACATCAATTCAGGACCGATTTAGTTGAAAGGTAATTTCTGACATGGTTACAACGTTTTTTTTTCGATAAACTCTTATATTTTTGTATTCACCACTCTTTTGCCTGAATTGTTTGCCTAATTTGAAAATCTAAACTACTTACATTGTTTCCAACTTGTTACAGTCCGGTATGGTAGCTTGTCTTCTTATAAACTCTGTGAAACATGAAGTTGAGAAACTTGTGCGAGCTAAGGACTAACGAGGTCTTACCTTTCAACGTGTGATTCCCAACACAAAGATTACTTGCAAAAAATGATTTCATGACAATTAAGAATTCTCTTTCAGTTCAAAGTGCCAACTTTCAGATATCTGTTTCGGTCTTTGTTCTTCGTCAGTATCGAACATGGTATCTGTTTCTGCCTTTGGGCTTTGCATCAGTGTCGAACTTGGCTAGTTCTTAGAAGGCAAACTGCAGATATTATAGTTGCACAGATATTCGTCTGCTCAGTTTTGAAAAAGATTCACGTAAGTCACTGAATTATCACCATAAAATAGATTGAACAGACGAATATATGAAGTGAAAATATAAATAATTACCAGATTGAAAGTATGTTTACATTACGAATTTTATAAGTAGGTGCTAAAACATTACTTTTTTAAAGCGATATATAAAACGAAAATAAAGATTAGGGAGGATCACATTCATTTGTACTAATTTGAATATAATTATATATACTTAATTGAAGTACTATATGAAACGTCATTCCTTGCCTCGTTTTTTGCTGAAGCTGTTGTTATGTAAGCCTATAAGTTGATCCAATATAAATAATAATAATAATGAATGGTGATTTTTAGTTGTTTTGATCAAAAGTCACTGTCATATTTGAGAAGCAAAAAAGCAATATATACACTGGAAGTATATTGATTGATTATTTGTATTCATAAATGAAAGCCATCTTCTTTGCAATCTCATATTGCTGTGGATTCAGCTTCAGGTTTCTTTTCATAAAATACGTCAAACTAGACGAATATTTTATACTGACTGTATATTCTTGTGATGCTGGAGTGCCTTGCTGTTGAAGTGGACTGTATTTGTATCGTTATTCATGTACTCACATCACAACCACTCGAATCTGTGCTGGTTCTGGTAATTGAAAATGCTGTTGCATATATTTAATGAATGTATATTTTACGGAGTTACAAAAACCAATATTTCTAACTATCGTTGTTTTACAATCCCTCTTCTGTCATCATGACAGTTGTCATAAAACATGACAGGGGCGTATCATATAAGAAATTTAACACTGACCAACATATTACTATTTTCATGGATCATGACACATGACAGTTGAATCTTTTTCAAAGTCACTTCCATAATATGACAGTTACCATGATAGCTAAATCAATTGTCATCATCCGCAATGAACCTTTTTCCTGAAGTACGAAAAATCACTCACTAGCAGCGCCAGTAGTTCGGTAGGGACAAACACTGTCTTTTCCTCATATAAACATATGGTAAAGTACAATTAAAAAATAATGTTTTTAACACAAGAAGATGTTCCTGGAGCAAAACTAAAATTTGCAACTGTAAAGGATAACAATGTTGTAACATTAAAACGTTGGCTTGCATGCCGTAATTTAAAAGTAAACTGAAAAAAAGTTAATTAATAGACAGGTTAGTATACAGACTCTAGTAAACTAGTAGCGGTAGATTCAAACTGTAATAAAAGAAATTTAAAATAATTATGAATTTCTGATTTATTTCCGAGTGAAATATGAATCAAATATAGATGGTAATGAAATAAATTTAATTAAATATAATAAATGAATATAGTTTAATAAACGATTGAGGTTATATCTCATTCTAATCAATGGTAAATAATTAACTATGAAAAATTTACTATTTATTTCATGTTTAGAGCATGCATATGAATATTTATTTATTTTTTGCACTGTTAAATCCACTCTCCTCGAAGTATTTATCCATTTCTTACATCTAACCTCATTAATATGAGGTTTTATAAATGGTATAAAAAACACGTTTTCTTCCGGATATCGATTATCCGACGTACAATTCTTAAAACAGCAATGCTTTGTTTTCATTAAACTAGCACAAAATAATTTCTTATATCAGATTTATATTTTTAAATAATAAATTAGTATTACGTAAATAACACTGTTTTACATGTGAATAGTTCGTGTTTGTCCCTACTACTAGTGCTGCCTCTCGCGACACGTTCGCTGTACTATTCTCAGGAAAAAGGCTCATTGTTTTGGTTGTTTTTTAATATTCTTTGTTTAATTTTCAGGACAGAATGTTTGAAATTATTGGTTGCAGTGACGATTTTGACTTGTGCTGATGAGTTAGAGAGAACTGACACCCTAAACAAATGGATAGAAATAGCGATAGATACGAAAACCGCTTTGGGAAATCTATTTGGTTTTTGTGGAATCATGCTGGGATTATGTCTTCCGCAGGTATGACAAATCAAATACGCAAATGAGTAGAGATGTTTTTAAGTGCGTTACGTCGGTCTTCAATATCAATTTAAATGTGAAATAAAATAATTTTAATAAAAAAAAAGCATTCAAATATAGGCTGTTCACGTTAAGAGAATGACGTCATTTTTGGTAATTTTGTATATCCAACATAACAACGTTAAAATTCCCACTGAAATGCGTTCAACAACAATGAAACTAGTAACATTTCATTTCGTAAGTTGCTCAACTGATAGTAAAATTTCAGACGTTACCGAATCGAAAAAAACTCGAAAACTGTCAGTCTTTCTTTTCTTTTCAGAACTAATCATTTCTTTTGATAAGACCTGCGTATATTCAATATGGCTAAAGCATTGTCGAAATAGTCTCAACAAATACTAAAAGTAAGGATAATAGCAATAAAACATATCAACAGTACAAAAAAATTTGAAACTTCGAAACGCCGTAACTTGTGACGTCATTCTCTTCTTAACGTGAACAACCTATAACATTGAAATGTTTAGACATATATAACGTTGTTTCAAGAGTTTTGGACTGAATAATTCTTATAAATTGCATTAATTTTCACTATTCGAAAATACGTTCCTTTTAGAATTCGGAGGTCAGGTTAGATGTTGAAGATACATAGTTTTTTAAAATTCTAAAGTAAGGTTAGACTGAGTTAGGTTAGGACGGGTTAGGTTAGGTTAGGTTGAGTTAGCATGTGAGGAATTATGGAATTTGAATCTAATTTCAAGGAACTTGGCAATAAGTGAATGAAAAGGGATAGAAAAAAGTGCGATGATATGGAAAAAGATGTGTTGAATATGTGAATTTCAATCGTTTATTGCTTAAAAAAAAGGTAAAATATGACACCACACAAACTTTGACAGGCTATGTCTCGAAAACTAATTGAGTCCGACAAAAAATAAAAAGTGTTTTACCCAAAAAAAAGGTCGATAAAAAAACTGATTTTTTCCTCCACAAAAAATGACTTTCGTTGAATATCTAATTTCAGTATAATATACATTTTATGAAATCGAATATTGTACTATAATATGTACGAACTTACATATGAATCGATAAAACGTAGAAAAACAATCAAATTTTATGAATAATCAGTAGAAAAACGATCAAAGGAAATTTTACTAATAATGAGTAATCATTTTATTTTCAATTCGGGCACGAAACATTTCAAGTTTTGGTGGTAAATATTTGTAGACAAAGACCTGGTAACAGGTTGTTTTCGGGCAGATAGTAAACCTTAAGGTTTATTTTTCATTCATCTGGAGAATCATAGATTATTATTCTATCACTAGATTTAAACACAAGAATGACATTATGGCATTATGAAAAAGTAATCTGTGAGGTGCATCGCCCAGTATACTGAGGCCCAGTATACTAAGGATTTTCTTTTATTAAATAAAAACAGTTTTCCAGCAAGATATTTTTTGCCATGAAATAATTCTATTATTCATGTAACAAATAATGAAAAATACATTTTCAGAGGTTCATTATTCACTACACTTCAGAGTTGTCTTGAAAGAAATATTGTACAATTTATTGCGTAAAATTTCATGCCAGGGTAGTTTTTCATCAGTTGTGATCCACAGTAAGTTAACGCTCATACCACTGTTAAAAGGTGTGTTGACAATCATAGGCTTGATTATTTTATGAGTTCAATTTTATTTTTTATTTATAAAACCTCTTTTTTGCATTACTTTCGACTCATCTGATTCTTTGATAAGTTCATCAAGTTGGCTTTCAGAGCATGTCAGTAATGTATCAAGTTGCAATAGTTCAATTATATCGTTTAGGTAGGTTATGAATAGAAGTGGCCCCAGAACTGAACCTTGTGACCCCATATAATATGATCAAAACTCTTTTACTCGGGAAGTAGCTTGTCGCTTTCACTTACATCTCAATTAAAATTCATATTCTCATTTTACAGATTGAGAAACTGGACACCACTTGGCACACGCTCCGCCAAAAATACACCGACTCTGCCTTCAACTTCGAAGCGAAACTCCGCCCAACGTTGAAAAACATGAACAGTTGCTCAAACCCTCAAGCGCCGAACACCACCATCCCCCATTTGCTTCCCTTAATTCTACTGTTAGAACGTAACCTAGACGACTTCCTCGCGCCCGCCGACCAGAACCAGCTCGCGCAGAACTGCCTCGGCATGTGGGAGTCGAACACACAAGATTTTGGCCTTAGTACTCTCTTGAGCCACATGGAAACTGCCAGAAAGTACTTCGAACTAAGCCCGACGTACCAGAGGAACGCCGAGATCGTGCTCGGTGAGGCGAGAATGGACGAGCTGACGCTCGACATGTTCCGCACGGAGTTCCACCTAAAGTTCTTGTGGGGCAGCAGGGGGGCCTTCGCGCCTGCGTACGAGAGACACACGAAGTTCGAGCAAGTTCTGACGGTGATGGCGGAGAAGTACTGCAATCCCAGAAACGAAACAAACGTTTGAGTAATGTATTGTGATCCATTAGTTGTAATTGTGGGGTAAGGATGGGTAGATTCGTTGTTTGGAACTGATGAGAAAAGCTGGTGGCATAATATAGCGCAGTGCTCGATTTCAATTTAATTTTCAGGCAATTTTTGAACAGTATTGAGACACCAGAGAATTAAAATTTTTGAACGTTCTTTTTGCAGCAAAATTTGCGTGTGGTTAGAAATAATTGTGAAATAAGCGACAAATTGGGGTTATTTGCTTATTTCTTTTGATTCATTTACTATTTGACGAAGCAGTCAATTTACACAAAGTATTTTCAAAAAATATACCTAACGGTATTATACAAATACGGACTCCTGATAAATTTTCTTCGACTGGTCATTTTGCAGGTTATAAACTTCCAACATTTAAACTGTATACTTTCTCATGAACTTTACGTTCTGGAGTGATTATATACTTCGCTATAGACAGAGATCTTCTCTTTTACGTTCAAAATACGGTATTATCACTATCCTTGGTCGATCTAAAAAAATGAGGTAACGAAAGGTACTGCCGTGAATTTTCCGTTTTCCATTTAGGTAGTGATTGTCCAAATGAATCTTTTCAACTGTTTCAAAAACCACTTGTGGCAAGTTACTAGAATCAGCTTCTATGTTTGATACAACCTCATCATATTATTCGGACTTTCTTCAAAATTTCATAGTTATTCAGTTTTAGTTAATAATTTGCTTAGCTATGGCGTGATCGGGTATATGACTAATAAGCATGGAAAATTATTCTGTTCCTATTTTATTGATTTGTAATGGGTAGTAAATACACAAGTTGTATTCTGAAAACGTACATTTCAAGTAAAGAATTGAAAAAGAAACTTCTGTTTGAAAAAAATTCTTATTCGGATGGTACGAGTATGGCTCTGTCGAACTCTTGAAAATCTGGTTTGGTTCCCAGTGGAGGAGGCACAAAGTATGTGGTCTGCTGTTTCATCATTTTCCAAAAAGAGGCGACACACACTGTCTCTGCATATGATGATTCAGACGACAGTGACCTGTGAGGAGGCCTGTTAGACATCGTAGTTCATCCCTACTGTAGTCCAACAACTGTTTGGTATCAAGCTTCAAAGGGTGAATAAACGCCTTGGAGTGAACCAATCCTGTAAGAGTCTGCCAGAAGTCCATAAATCTTCTCGCCATCCAGGTGTTCAATCTTTGTTTGGCAAAGCCTTAAACGATACCAATGACAGGTTCTGGCCCGATGAAGCTGCTTGCGGCACCCTCCTTTGACAGAGAGTCAGCAGCCTCATTGCCTTCCAGGCCACTATGGCCAGGAATCCAGACCACAGACAATCTGTTAAGTCTTAATATCGAGGAGAGCCGTTTTTGGCAATTTGCTACCAATTTAGATGTTGCTCTGTAGGAACCAAGAGCTTCCAACCCCGCTTGACTGTCGGAAAATATTTTTATTGACTTGTGTATGAGGTTGGATTCTTCCAATCTCTCCGCACACAATTCAACAGCATAAACTTCCGCTTGAAATACAGTCGCATAGGTTCCTAGGCACGAAAAACCGGAAGGTGTTTTTGATCCATCTGTGAAAAATAATGAACTGTTTGGAATAGAACCTTTTCTATCATTTTTTATATTTCTCATGCGATATTTTTGCTATATCTAGACTTTTGAAAAAATCATTATTCTTTTTAAAGCACTGTAATATATATATTTATGTATTTGTTTCTATACACTTATTTTATTCATGTGTAATTGTTGATTTATTATTCCATATTCCATTATTCCGTGTTAGCAATCACACGTTAAAAGGTAAGACCTCGTTAATCCTTAGCTCGCCACAAGTTTTGACTTCTGAGGGTTGTCGTTCTTAGGGGTGCGAAAGCTGGTTAACGGAAAAACAGATTTCAAACAGATATACCTACACATTTTACTTTAAAGACTTTGCCAATGAAATGTTCAAATCTCTGGGTAAAGAGGCATATTTTGATTTGACTGATTCATTATTTCAAATTCTAGTGTCATCTATCGATCTCTACAATTCCAGACAGTGTTCATTTATTCAATAGCAGTTCTCCAAGGCGTGTTTGAGCAACACTAGACTTTTCTGGTCTCTGAAATCAAATTTGTGAAAGTGTTTTTTAAATGTATAAGTATACTTATAGTAAATAGATGTAATTAGAAGCTCATTTGTGATGATTTATGTACAAGATTCAGACAAAAATATTTGGTTAGTACAGTTATTTATTTCAACGATAAATAAATACTAGAAGTATCAAAGTATACTATCAATAATGTAGATTCTATTAAGAATTTATAAAAACTAGCTCATTTCTTATTCAGTTCAATCAGATTTGAAAAAATTACGTATTACTTTTTGAGAATGTCTTTCATTAGGTGGATTGAATTTGGTATTTCACTCAAATATTTCAATGAATCTCAAAAACTGTTGGAAATCAAAACGTGATTTTTGTCTGGATCTGGGTATTGCAAGATTTGATTTTTACATATCAAAATTAATTAATTTTGGACTTTTGCGAAACAACCAATATAAACCTCCTCAACAGCAGTCCAGTTGGTTTCAAAACGACAATTAGAACTTGTAAAAATTAAGCTTTAAACTTGTAATTAGTAGATTAGATTTTATAAAAGGTGCTCATTTATTATAATATTGTAAGGAACTATTTGGTCTAAAAAATCAAAAGAATTAATTTTTATTACTCGAGTTTGACAATATAAGAAAGACTGTAACATTGTCAATATGAATCCTAATTTTTCAAAGAAATCCACTCTGTATATTTTCACAATTGAAATGATTTGTTTGTATGAATAGAAACAGATCTCAAAAAATTCATCTCTCCCTTCACCTGTTCTGGTGAATGCCTACCGGAAAACAACTACTTCCCTAGCTAATACCACGCTGGATATTGAATTATATCCCAGACATAAATTCAAGATACCTACCTCACAGAGGTTAGTCTCGCAAAAGTTTCTTGTTCATCCATCACCAGAACTATGCTGAAATTATTCGAGTTAGATCACCTACAGTCTGACTTCGAGGTATTACCTCTTCCCAAGCAGGGAAGAAACATCCCCGCTTGGGGCTTTGTTCAAGAGATGGAGCTGTTACAAGTTAACACTATTTCTCTTAGACAAAGGTTTCATACAAGCAGTTGAGCCACATTGAAATTCCAGGCACTTTGCTGTTTAGGTCGGAGCTTTCCTGTACTAATGAAAGGTAATACCTCAAAACCGGTCTTTAGGTGGTCTACTGGAATAATTTCAGCATGGTCCTTCTACTGGACGAAGGAAAAACATCTACAAGACTAACCTCAATGAGGTATCTATCTTGCTTGAATATCTGGCAGATATAATTCAATATCCAGCGTGGTTTTATCTGGGGAAGTAGTTGTTTCCCTGCGGGCATTAACCAGAACCCACTGGTGTAAGGTAGTTGGGAGAGATGAATGTTTTGAGATTTCATTTCGAAATATTTTTTTTCTTATACATATCGCTACAGCCTTCAGACACTAACTCATTATTTCTGTAATAAAAATTCAGGCTGAATTTCAAAAATGACTAGACTTCATGACATAGACTTAATATACATATACAGTACCACCCATAAAGTTCATTATATGGAATTTTTTATCAGCAGAACCTATAACAAGTGCTCACATAGTATGCTACATCTGTCAAATATAATTTCTTGTATAAAACAGCGAACGACACAGTCATAAAAATTGAAAATTTAAAAATTCACAAAAATAATTGTGTAACAATGACTTATTTCCAGTCAGACAATAAAATTGTGTACTTTGTCAATACAAATACGAATTTAAAAAAGGGGAAGCGCAGCTCATAATCTAAATAAAATGAATAAATAATGGACTAAATGTCCACTTGATGGAAATTATTTTGCACAACAAATTGTTTCTTGTTCATTCATACAAATCATTTTCTAGTCTACCAACGAAGACAGCTATTAAGTAATTCCACATATCTCCTAATTTTTTCATGTGCCATTAGTAGACAAGTCGATTTTTGGTTTCGCTTTTCATCCAAGAACTACTAGTTTTCTTACATTTTTAAATGTGATGTTACTGTATATTGAAAATTAGGATAAACATATAACTGAACATAAACTGTGTGTTACTATGAAATGTAGATTTAATATATTTATTAACGGGTCTATTGCAGTAGTAAATAGAAGACTATTGTAAACGAAATATGTATAGTAGATTGTGGGTATTTCAAAGTGTTAAAGATTATATAAATAATTGAAATAAAAATCCAAGAAACTTTAACTGCTTTTATTCTTCAGTTCATCAATCACATGTTTAGGAATTTTAATTCGTTTACGTTTCTTTTTTTGTGTCACAGTTTGTTCTCCTTCCTTTATAGAAGTTGTATTTATAGTTGGTTTCTTCTTCTTTTTACAGGACAGTGGATTAGGACCTTTTTTCTTCTTTTTCTTAGGTCTCTCTTCATCTACTATTCCACTTTTCTCTTTCAGTTTTTCAAAATAAAGCTTTTCATGCTCCCTCAAGCCTAGCATTTTTTCTTGTGCAAATTTAACAGACGCTTCGGAAGGTTGTTCTAGAACTGGTGTTTTCAAATGAAGATATAACAGCGGTACACCTGGTATATTCCTAACAATACTCTGCAGATCCCGATCTTGTGTGGCCACTATATAATGTTCTATGTTTGTTTTTCCCAGCATAGAGAGAAAACATTTGGATCCTAATATAGGCTTGCCTTCATGACCACATTTATGTAAAGAATAGTTTTTCAAAATTAGAAGAGCTCCATTCAATTTTGGTCCCAAGTTTTCCATTTCTATGATGGCACATTGAGTAGTGATCAGCTTTATTTCTGCCTGCAGATACCTTGGGATATTGTCGGCTATATTTATTTTATTCTGAAATGTAATACATTAAGTCTATCAAGACTTCAGTTCATGAAAAGTAGAGTTCAAAATAATGAAGAACTAACAATAAGTTATCTGTTTGTCTATTCTTACATATATTTTTATTCAGAGACACTCACTTTTGGCTGTTAAAAGCTCGTAAATGATGATTTACATTGGAAATTGTAGAAATAGGAAATCTGTTCAAGATATCACATACAACATTTTGTTTCTCTTTCAATTAGAGACATGACTTAATTAGATAAGAAGGAGTAAATGATTCTAAATTACTGTTGAACAGAGTTTTACAAATTTTTAGGAAGATCAGTTAGGTTTGTGACACAAGTTTTTTATCAATAAAAACTGTGCTGATCTGTTAATCCGCTAAAAACATTTGTTACTACTGAAATATTATCAGTGCATTTATACTGTCATTGAAAATCATGAATTCATGTTTAGTTGTCAGAATATTTTTTGTGGTATGGAAATTATTTGAAAAATATAACAATGATACTTGGTTACATGCTCACCTTCAATGCAGCAAAACAAAATGTTCCATCTACCAAAACTTGATAAGGTTGTCTGAATCCATATGTGTTTGTGAAAAATCCAAGGTTTTTATTGACTTTTTTATATCTTCGAATTTTCATTTTCAAATTTACTTATTTACAAAGTAACCACTTATTGACAACATTCAAATTATTTCATAGACCTAAAATAAGAATAATTTCACGTTTATTAATTACTTTAATGGTTCTGAGAGGTTAAAATAATTACAAATCTTCTTCTAATTATTATTACTTAGTTTTTGGCCCTAGCCTCAGAGCAATAAATGTAATGAAATTTATTGCTCAGAGTCACCACCTTATTACACCTTGAATTCTTGCATATATACACAATATATGATGAATTTCTGTCCTATACAGTCATCAATAGACGACACAGTGTGCACAGTCAGTGTTGCAGTAACGCCAGTTGGCCTTGACAAAGCGCTCCCAATGACGTTTTCGATAGTCAACATATGGCTAAGAAAAGATCGAAACGCAGGTCATTGTCTATAATAGACAATGTGCAGGTGCTTTATCAGTATGTATATATAGTATTTTATCTATGGTTTTACCTCGAGGCGAGAAATGCGATTGTCCCAACTTTATACACATGTTGATAGATGGTGTCAGAATAAAAATTTGTCGCGCGTATTTTGTTCAGAACTTCAATTTATGGAAGACAATATGAAAAATTGTTTCATATAATATCATTAAATTATCCCCAAATGTAAACAACATCAAAAATTAAAGTGCCAACTTGACATTGTCAAACAGTGGCTTTTAAGGTTTACTCGGCAGCTGTATGAATGGGATACTGAATATTGAATCTCTTTACTATTATTTCTTTAATAAGAATGCTGTAGGTTGATAGTTTTTGAAGTGAAATTTTGGATAAGTTGCACCCTCTAACTTTGAAAACAAGTTTCAAATTATGAATACACTGACCCGTTACTTGACGAAAATAAATAACACTATCAATGATGATAATAACATATTTTTCACAATAAATTTTATTTGAGACGCGCATTAGTTGATGAAGTTACCATGTAGCAAAACGCGTCTCGTTTCTTAAAATCGGAAGGTGAAGTGTATCCAAAATTGTACCAATGCTTCATATGAAAAATGTCGTCCTGAATTGCTCTATAAACTAATCACTTTTTTATTATTTCTTATTAATTTGAGGTTAACTATTTCGATATTTATATAGAGATTAAGGATTTTGAGATTGAAACTTATTTTATTGATGGAGATAAAAATACTTGATACTTGACATTTACCAAGAATTGTTTATTCTGTGACATTAATGACAAATGGCACATGACAAGTGACAATTTGATGGATCGGCGTATGGCTGAATTATAGTTGAATTTATTGAAAACTTGAAAAGCTACTCTTACTAGTAATATTGAGAAACTGGTTTTCAACTAATAGAATAAGTCAATTTTTTGTACGATAGTGCATTTTTTCTTCTAGAGTTGTTGAAGCTGCTTGCTTGTATTTTCCATTTTTTCCTTGGTGAAAATTGATTATCCAATCACCTGATGAAAAAATTTGTGCATTTTCATTCATAGTTTGCAGTCACTGTATCGTTAGCTGTGATGAAATAACATTAGAGTGTTTCACTCTGGTGGTTTAGTAGTGCATACTAGGAAGTACAATGTCTGCTGCATTTGCTCCTCAACGTGGCCCTAGGCCACCTCCAGATCCTAAACAAATTCAGAGGCTATTGGACGAAAACGGGAGTCTTATTCAAACTATACAGGACTATCAAAGCAAAGGTAAATCCCAAGAAGTTATGCAGCTACAGACAACCCTTCACAGAAATTTGGTTTTTCTGGCTACAGTAGCTGACTCTGCACAAAATGTAAACTCTCTCTTACCTGTAAGTATGAATGAATTCTCATTAGTTGGTTTGTTTTTAAAGGTACCACTAGTATATCTATTGAATATAATATATTATAGATCTCAGATATAAATCTGTTACAGCACTGTACTTTCGCCAAGAATCTTGGCTCTTTTAGATATATGGCTATTGAATATTACAACTTGATCCCAAACCAATGGAAGGAACTAAAACCTAGTTAAATTTTACAAAAAGGCAATAAAAAGTGTTTTGTATGAAAACTATGATTAATGAGTTCTTGAATATAGCTGTACTGATAATAACCATACTCTTGTAATTTATCATGTTCAAGAAAGATTCTTGAGATGGAAAATGGAGAAAATTATCAATACTTGGATATGGAAAAAATACTGAGTATTCAGTCAATCTTTAGGAAAGTAAATTCGCTTCTCAATGATATAATACAAGGGATCATTTCTATTAAAAATGGCTGCGTAAGAGCCATTTTTCTAAAATTAATTTATCCGCAGCTATCAACTTGGAGAATAGAAAAATATTTTGAAATAACCCGAAGTAAATATTACTGAAATATATGTGCATCCGTGAACAGTTTAAATTATTGAAGTTTTTGTTTTAGCGCATGATCTAGAAAAATATATAAGGTTCTGAAATTCTTCACTTTTGTCCATTTCTCAAACCTAAGAAATATTAAACTTTTTCATTATTGAAAATGTCAGCCTCAATTAACTTCAACTTTACTCCAAATATCAATTTTTTTAATCTCAGAAACAATTGAATGGTGCTATGACAATGATCTTGTGGTCACTCTGAATATTTTGTAACTTTTTTGAATATCATGCCATTCATTTATTTTACAGTATTAATCGGATTACCCCTAATTCAAAAAATTTTTTTTTAAGATGATTCAACCTCCAGGTCCAGGGGGTGGACCTCCCCAGCCTAATCACACACCACCAACAACAGACCAACAGCATAATATGAATAATTTCAATCATCAGCAACAACCTCCAGGTCCTGGAGGACCATACAGGTAGAAACTGCTTTTATGTGACTAATCATATATTGGCATCAAAGATAATGTAAAACGATCATTCTTCGGAAGTCCTCAGAAACAGCATGGGATTTCTCATGTTTAGTAATCTTCCCAACGATCTTGAAATAATTTCATGTCTAAGATTATTCAAACATGGTGTCAAAAAATTGTTAGGCTATAGCTTTTACTCTGTACAATAGCTTACTTCTAGAAAACAGGGCTGTAAGTTGAGTTATTTTGATTGATTTCAAATAGTTATCTTTTTGTTAACCCTATTCTTCTGGTTATTTTGCTGTGTAGTTCTTCATTTGGTTCTGCAACCATGAAAGTTTCAGCTGATGCACATAACTTTTTGAAAAGTTATTACAAATTTTAATTGAACTATTTTTTCCTCTCATCGTCAAGGGCATTCAGATAATGCATGAATGAAGAAGAGAAGGTTCATTGTAATGTAGGAATATTTCATCAACATGGTTTTAGTCAAATAAACTTGTTGAGAGTCATTATTTTTGAGTGGTTTGAAACAACATATCTTCATTATCGAATATTAAAACCAACAATAACACAATTATCCTCTGTTACAATATGGAAATCATTATCTAATTTTGCAGTTAAATAATGTGAATCACTTTCTGCTTGACTTGTAGACCTATTTTTCATTTGACAATTCCTGACAATTTCTCTCAAGATGTATTTAGAGGCATGTATTCGTCCAAAAATGTATTAATCGGAGTATAACTTATATATCTAAGATTTCTCTCATGCTTCAGTTCCATCGTTACTTCAAATATAATAATCACACATAGATATTCCATGCTATGAATCACACTTTAAAAGGTACAACCTCGTTATTATATTAACAGAAATCGGAGCTGTTTATGAGGACTTTCAAGTAAAATCTTTTGTTGATTTGACCAATAACTGATTTTCAGACAGCAGCAAGTTCCGCAGAGACCTGGCCTTCCTGGTCCTCATCAGTATCCTCAGAGAGGTTACTCCCAAGGACAGTACCCTGGTCACTATCAGCCTCAAGCACCTGGATATCCTCAAGGGGGTCAGTACCCTCCCCCAAGTCAACCACCATATGCATCTAATGCACCTCAAGGGACTTACGGACAACCACCAGCAGCCAGTGGTGGTCATAATGCTTACCAACAACCAGGTATGAGAAATAGACAATTTTGTCACTAAATTTTTCAAAAATAAAATTTCCTTATTAGTCAGTGGGCTATGCTTGACGACAGGCAGTAAACAAATCTAAAGAAATGAACTTTAAATGTTCAAGCCCGTCTCGGATACACCTACACAGTAGGTTGAATGGACTGACGCCTATCAGAAAACAACTACTCCACTGGCTAATACCACGAACGGCGTTGGATAATATCTGACAGGCGTCGGTGCGGGAATCTTCACAGAAAATTTCCTGCATATGCAATTGGCAATACAACTGAAAGAGTCGACCTTCAATTTTGGAATGGGCACACTTGCACACTGGTTTCGGGCTCCTTAGCCACTCGTTAGTGCAAGAAGACCATCATCGACCTAAAGTCAATGATATTCCATAATTGAAAATAGAAATTCTCTCAGAGTATTTAATTCCTCGTCTTAAGTTGGAGCGAACATCAAAAATGTCACTCCATCTAGTGGACGAAGTACTTACCAACTGCATATCCGAAATTTGCCCGATTCCTCTGAATAAGGAAAAAAACTTTATTAGTCAGTGGGCTATGCTTGAAGACAGGCAGTAAACGAATTTAAAGAAATGAACTAACGAATTTCCCGAATCTAAATAATACGGAAATTTTGCACTATGAAGGAATTATTTGGAATCCTTGGAAATTCATAAACATAAGCATTGCGGATGTAACTAAATGACCGAATTGATCTTGTTTACTTGCCAGTTTTCAGATTAGCGTACCCACAATGTCACCAGTAAACAAACTTCAGGTAATAAACTTGTAATGAACTTATAAAGAAACTAGAGGATGAATTCCTAACTAATAACTTTACTTGTTAACAATTTTACAATACTTGTTTTTTTATATCACCATTGACTGGTGCCTCAGATATACTTGTTTCCTTATAACAGTCAGTTAGTTTGGCGCATGTTTGACAATACAGTCGATCATCACCTGTTAAAAATGTAAATTGTTAAGTATTTCAGTTTATTGTATTCATTTGAATGTCCTTATAGGACGAAACTGCAGTAACGTTAGTTACAAATAAAAGTGCTAAAAACATAAGAAATTCCAATTTGCATTTATCATTATTCGTACAATTAGTTCTTATCGAGTTAAGTTGTCAAATTATGGTATACAAGGCTTGCCTCTCAAACTAATAAAATCATATCTGGAAAATAGAAGGCAGTGCGTGATTCAAAGGGATCAAATAAACGGCGAACTAATAACATCAATTAAAGAGAAAATAATCTTAGTGTCTATTCATGTTCTCCATAGTATTTTCTTCACATTGGACTGTATGAGAATCATTTTTTGTGATTCTGCTTCAACATCTGAAAGTGATTTATGTTATCTTATTCATCTGTTGAAAAAATCGGTTCATTTTGTGGTTCATTTAAGAATGAGTTTTAAAAAGTATAAATTGATCTGTACAATTGACAAAAAGGTAGAACAAAAAACTACTCTACTTTTTTGTGTTATCTCTGTTTTTTAACCTGCTTGAAAACAGTTGTTGTTATAAACTTATTCTGAGATGTAGATATTTATATTCATAATAAACATTCAGTTTATAAAATGGCGAATATATGTCACAAATGTGGAATAATATGTTCCAACAAACTTGATAAGAAAGATAGTTATACTTTTGGGTGTAGTTGTGATTCTTGCAGAGTATTGCTGTGCAGAAATTGTTCACGAATGACAGTCACAGAAATTAAGTGTATGGCATTGAAAACAAGGCAACTATTATATTTCTGTGACAAATGCATGCAGGTTATGAAATTTAATTACAAAGAAGGGCCCAGCGAGAGCTATTCAAGATGCTATGAGAATCCGTCTGCAGAAACATCAAACACAGGGCGGGTACTGCAAGACATAGGGGATGATAATCTCATGAGAGCTGATATTCCTGGCTCCCCAAACAGAGTATCCGCTCAGTTAGAAAAACCAAAAATGATTGTAAATAAGAAAATCAGAACGGTAGACGGTGACAGTCAGTCAGAGGAGCTTCTCATGATAGATGAAATTTCCAGCTCTCCGAGCAATATACCTGTTCAGTTTGAAGGACCAAAAATTGTTATATATGAGAGAAACAGAACAGAAGTTTCTCAAATAGAAGGCGGCAGTCAGCCAGAGGGGCTTCTCATGATAGCTGACATTCCCAGCACCCCGTACGAAATACCCGCTCAGTTGGAAGATTCTCAAATAGAAGGCGGCAGTCAGCCAGATGAAGGTCCATTAAATTTAGTAGAGAAAACGGAAAAGAGACAGCGAATGAATTCGAATGATGAGGAATCAGGTGAGAACACTAACTGAATAAAAAAAAATAACATAAAAATTGAGAAATAAAACTTCCTATGTTTTTATACCACAAGGTATTTATAACTTCTAGAAGTACAAGGAATACAGAAACATTTGTAATAGATGTTCATCGTTGTAACTACAGTAAACATTCTCCCCTGTCTAGAGTTGCTATTGGTGGTAATAAAGTCGATCTGGACTTCTTTTCATTGAACGAAACAAAATTTAAGTTTGCATTACGCTCACTCAGAAATAAATTATAAATGGTAATAAATATAAACATAAACATCCTCAATTAGTGAATTTCAGGCCACTCCATAGGACCTCTTCTTCCAATCCAACGACCGGGTATTGCAAATTGAGGTATTGGCGAACTGGTGCGGCGTAGTGCGGAGGAGCTCCGTCTTGTTGGAAATGCAATTGTTGTTCAAGTAGTAGAGGATCGTTTTCTAATTGTTCAGTTATTAACGAATTAATCGCATTTTCCAGCATTTCAAGATAACGTTCGCCAGTTAAATTACCAGCTCATTCGAGCTGTAAAATAGATTTTTGGCGAAAACGGTTCATCAAATTTACGTTTTTCATACGCCCTATTAGGGGGTTGCTCGTTCAAGCCTAAAATATACGCCAAAAGATGTACCCCAAACAAAATCATTCGACGTGTTTCGGGAAATTTTTCCACTCACTATGGAATAAGAAATATACGGGGTTGGCTTGTCTGAGATGGAGTATAATTTTTATTCAATTGTTTCAGGTTATGTCACGTCATCTTCCAATGGGACTCCCACTCAGCCCAACACAGCCCCAGGACCTTACCAACCCCCAGGAGGCTCCTCTCAAAATCCACCAACCCAATACCCTCCAAACGGCGCTCCTTATGCCAACAGTGCCCCTCCTCAAAACTATCCTCCTTCCCAGCAAAATTATCCACCACAGCAATCCCAGCCTGCTCAGCCGTCCTATCCAAACCAATCCAGTGGGGCTCCTCAGAATTATTCGACCAACAACCCTCAACCTCCACCATTCTCAAACACTCCAACTAATAGCTTCAGTCCTGCTGTAACATCTGCACCTAATGCGCCCGCTCCAGTGACTTCGCAGGCTTATCAACCCCCTTATCCTCCAAACTCCCAGCCATCGAATCCAAATGCAAGTTACAACTCCCCTCCGAATCAAGGGTATCCGCCAGGTCCAGGGGGACCTCCGGGCGGCTACGTATACCCCCCACAGCCTAATTCTTATCCCCCTCAGCCACAGTATCCACAACAAGGTCAAGCGTATCAATATAGACCACCTCCGAACCAAGGCCCTCCGGGTCCACCTCCGCCTCAAGGACAATATGCATACAACTACCCTCCACAACCAGCTCCGCAGTGAAGCCTGGGCATGAACAAATGAGGTATTCGATGATATTTAGTTCAGTGTACTTTTGCTTTGTAATTTTTATGTATTTTGAATTTCATGATTTTCGTAAGAAATAAAAATGTCGCTTCTGGACAATACATTATTTTTATAAATTCACCCTTTAAATTGAGAAGCAAATATGAACTTCCAGTTTTATACGATCTGGAGGAAAGTATAATAAAAACAATGAACACCAAATTGAATTCGTAGGGATCTCACCACAAGATAATGATAATAATAATAGCATTTATTGCCCATCAGTTTCCCATTTACAGAGCAAAACTAACATACTTGGAGGATTAATACTATTTGATATAAGATAAATACTATTTGATGTAAAAAACATAAATGACTTCTAGGTACGCACGAGATTTATTTACAATTTCACAAATACTGCAGCAAAAAATATCGATGTTAGTAGAGAGCTTGTTCACATTACGACACATCAGATTGATTGGTGATTTCAACATTAAGTTAGTTTGTGTCCTTTTGCATAAAAAGTATTGATGTGCCTAAAAGATATTCTTGGAACAAAGATATCAATTTCTGATAATAGTACAGGACAATCCAATTTGCCATTCAATAGCTTATATAGAAATAAAACAGATGTATTTTTTCTTTTTTCCAAGGGTACAAAGTCAAATCTGCATAGATCAGGGTAATCACAGTTTCTTGGAGGATAAGTTCCGGTCATTTTAAAAATGAGAAATTTTAAAAACTTCTTTTGGACTCTTATCAATTGCTGATGTGTATTGATGGTATATGGGATTCCATATAATGGACCCATATTCTAGTTTTGGCCTCACCAGACAGAGAGGTCAAGGTTAGCATATTATGAAAATTTTTGCAGTTCCTTATTATAAAACCATATGCGCGGTAACCTGAATTTATAATATGGTAATTGAAAGTTGGTTGATTATCAAAATAGATTCCTAGATTCTCAGCTCTTTCCAATATAATGTTGTCTAGTGTATTAAGTTTTCTACTGAATGTAACCATTTTACATTTAGATATATTCAAATGGAGGTGATTCATGAGACACCAATTTTGTAAAAGATCAATCTCATCTAAATTGTTTATTTATAGATGTATACAGTTTCAAATCATCAGCAAACATTAATTTATTGCAAGTTATTGAGTTGCACAGATCATTAATAAATAGTATTGTTACAGTCATCTAAATTGTTTATTTATATATGTATACAGTTTCAAATCATCAGCAAACATTAATTTATTGCAAGTTATTGAGTTGCACAGATCATTAATAAATAGTAAAAACAATAAGGGACCAATATTGGATCCTTGCGGGACTCCGCTGGTGGCTAAAGATACACATCTGAAGAAAAGCCGCGATAATATACGTATTGATTACGTCCGCCAAGGTATGATTCCAAAAGTTGACAATAAATTTCATTGAAACCTATGCAAGAAAGTTTACAAATTAGTAACTTATGGCTGACCCTATTGAATGCTTTAGAGAAGTCCGTGTACACCACATCTACTTGCCCTCTACGGTCTAACGATTCACATAAATATTGATCAAAAACAGCTAAATTCCTGATGGTGGATCTAGAGTTCACAAAACCATGTTGGTGATCAGATATTATTGACATTGATGAAATACTAATAGCTTGAGGGTTGTTTATAGATTTTCTTTTAAGCTTTTAATTATGACAGCCATATCTGACAACCTTTGATATTGAGGTACCTCAAAGTTCAATTTCGGAACCTATTTCATTTATCTGATTGCTCTAAAATCTGTCAAAAAAATAGGTAACTTTTTTCCTGTGCTGATTATACTAATTTTATGTTAAATCACTGATGAAATTAACATAAAACAACCTCAATTAGTTGAATGTTAGGTAATCCTGAAGTTAAGCTATTAGAAAATGAAAAGTCGGGGATATATAAAGTGAGCTGTAAGGACTGTAACAAAAAGTACATCAGTCAGACTGAACGAGATATTAATATACTCATTTCAAAGAACACGTGCTACAATGTACATAGTACAAAATAAGCTCTTTACTAAGATGTGTAGATCAGAGAAGTTTCAGTTTGAAAAAGCCCTTTCCAAAGACGACTTTCTCATGAACATTAAATTACGCAAATGAAAAGTCTTTTCGAAGCAAGCAATTACATGAAAATTACTGTTTCTCATTCAGTTTGTACTCCAAAACATTCATTATAAAATTGAAACAGATATTCACAATGAAAAATAGAAATCACTTTTTTTTTCAAAAACTAATCTCTCCTAAAAATATTCCCTTTTGAATTTGAACTACACAACTTATTATTTTCAACCTCTCATGTTTGCAAAAAACTGAGAAACATTCAAATGAACAATGATTAATATTCTTGAGAAACAATAACACCATAAACATAACGCCAGCAAAATAAAATTTGACAACTATCAGTATTAGTCAACGTCAGTTTATTTATATCGATACTTTCATCATATAATATTCAAAGAAAAAAACATAATGAAATGTTGATGGAAATAAAGGTCAAACTGTGCATGAAACACAACTAAACATATTTTTGTTAGGTTATCAAATTTTTTAAACAACTAAAACTTCGCAAAATCATCTTTGTACAAGTCGTGTTCACTTATTCTAAGTTTTTCTTCATCGAAAACATCGAAATTACTCGTATCTCCTGGTGACTTAACGGCTGGCTTGAACGGAGGATCAACTTGTCGGTTATATATAGCCAGCCAATCGATATCCCGAAACCATTTGTGGTTCTTTATGTCTTGGGTTCCGTTTCTTAAATTACCATATCTAAATAATTTTTTCATATTAATAAACTCAAGGCATCAGTCAGATTTCGTATGGAAAACAGCTAGAGATGAAACGGCTAGAATTTTACCTGGATACCGGCCAACATTGCAGCTAGATTGCAACAGTATCTACAGCAAAAGACTTTTCTCTGAAGCTGACCTAATTTGCAAAGACAAGCAAGACCTCTTAATGCAGAAAAATTATAATCCATTGGTTATAATTTGTCCTTGCAGTACGAGTACTAATTTCTAAGTTGTAGAGATATTGTGTAATTACTGATATTATTTCTTAAGTGATACTAACTGAATAAAGAAAATAATTACCTGTAAAAATTTTTAAAATCCGGTATTCGGCCAGATATCCTTTTCATCTCTAAAAATAACTAACAACTGAAAGATATATAAGACTTATAGCGGCTTAGAGAGACTTCCATTACCATATATAAACACTAACAACACGCAGATCGAAGAGTCTAGTTGAAAGTGCTATACGAAGTGATTTAATAAGACAATAGACATTTGAAGTTTCAGTTGAAGTGTTTGTGTGGTATTGTGGTAGAAATATTGTGTGATTATTGATTGTATTTCTTGGTTGATACTAACTAAATATAGCATTAATTACCTAAAAATATTTTTCAAATCCGGTATTGGGTCAGATATCCTTTTCATCTCTAAAAATCAACTGAAAGATATATAAGTGTGTAAATCATCCCCTAAAAAAATAATAACGCCGATCGCCACTGGTCGTCGTAAATCGATTGTGACTTGGCCAAGGTAGCGCTCAACTCGACTTGCGCTTCGCGATTGTTCTGAATGTTGCATCGCTTAGAGAGACTTCTAGCGACTTCCCTATCAGCTTCGAGAGACTTCCATTACCATATATAAACAATCACAACACGCAGATCGAAGAAGTCTATTTGAAAGTGCGGTACGTCGTGATTCAATAAGACGATAGATATTTGAAGTTTCAGTTGAAGTGTTTGTGTTGTATTGTCAGTGTAGCAACGAATTATTGTGTGATTGTATTTCTTGGTTGATGCTAACTAAATAAAGCAATAGGTTATCTTATTTTTTTTTTATCCGTTATTCGGTCAGATATCCTTTTCATCTCTAAAAATAACTATCGACTGAAACATATATAATGTTGTTTGTAAATCATCCCACGAGAAAATAATAACGTCAGCCGCCGCTGGTCGACGTAAATCGATTGTGACTTGTCCAAGATCGTGCGATTGTTCTAGATGTCGCGTCGCTTCAAGTCGCAAGTCGCTAGCGACTTGCCTGTCGGCTTCGAGAGACTTCCATTGCCACATATAAACACTAACAAGACGCAGATCAAAGAAATCTAGTTGAAAGTTCGGTATGAAGTGATTTAATAAGAGATAGATATTTAAAGTTTCAGTTGAAGTGTTTGTGTTGTATTGTCAGTGTAGCAACGAAACGAAGTTAGGTTTAATTGTACTGTGTAGTCTATTATTGTCAAACATGCAGGGAAAACGTAACATGTATATCTGAGCTTCGGTTTATGTACGACTGTTCAATTACTTGTTTGAAATACGAGTAAAAAGATCCGAAGAAAATATTGAAAACTCCACTGTCAGCAGCCCTGAAATACTAATTACCTTCTACTCAAGTCTAACTGTAACAGATTCTTTATGATATCGCCAAGCTCCGCTGAAAATGTTCCGGGGATTTTATATCTGCAGGTGATGATTCGTTCGTAAACTTTCATAGGATCATTGGAAGTGAATGGAGGGTATCCTGCACTCATTTCAAATAGTAGTACTCCAAAAGACCAATAGTCGACTGCCTTTCCGTACCCTTTGCTAAGAATAATCTCAGGAGCGATATATTCAGGAGTACCGCAAAGGGTCCAAGTTCGACCTTTCACAATCTGTTGATAATAGAAGTCAGTATTATATTTTTCATCATGTATTATGATATTTAAATGTTACGTGTCAACAAAATCTGTTTATTTTCGCAAAAATTATTCAATATAAAAATAATCCTGCAGAAGGTTGTCGTTCTTGAATCATATTTCCACTTATATTTAACATTATGATCCGAAATAAAACAACTGAAATATTCAATTATTGTAGCAGGCGCTTCAAATAAAGAAATACATGTAAAGTGAGTTATATCAAGGAGGTTACATACAGCGCCATCTGCCCGTGAATAGACCAAACAATAATGTCAATATATCAATGAGGTTACGTATAGCGCCATCTGCCCGCGAATAGATCAAGCAATAATATCGATAATTCTGTCAAACACAGATCACGAGCTTGAGAGTTACAAGCAAACCAACATACATACATATAGGTGAAGCTAATAAAAGCGTGTTAATAAAAATAATAATAAAAACACATGACATTGAAACGGACGAAACATTTGAGATGACGTGATACTAATCTGAGATTTTGTTATTGTAACAACGGTATCCTTAATAATTTTAGGCGAAGCAAAGTTTAAATTTAAAGGGGCTGTAGAGTTTTATAAATTCTCTCAAGGGTTGTGTCCCAGTGGTGGAAAAGTAGTCGGAGAAGTTGGATATATTGATACGTTCTGATATTATTTTTTAACAGATTATAAAATTATACACCGTCTGTGTCTGTCTGAACGCGATAAACTCGAGAACTACCAGTCTAATTTTCATTCTTCACAACAACATACAATTTGGATTATTATCTTTAGAGTTAACGCAAAATTAAAACTGTCGCCCGAGAAAATTGTTTAAAGCGGCCTCATAAACCGAGGAGCACGCGTGATGAAGAAACGATACAACTGCTTTGGTTTCAAGGAATGAATCAGCATCACGTAACACGTGTTTCACTGTTCAATAACCTCCTCAGGCGTGTTCATCCAGTATGAACACGCCTGAGGAAGTTTTTATGAAACACGACTGTAAAACGTTGGGTGAAAATCTCTTAATAAAGTGTTACTTGGAAACATGGATTTTCATCAAGTATTGGACATATCCGACACATATAAAAACACTCGATTTTGAAAATGCTTGCACTCCTAAATCGAAGTATCTAAAAATGTTACCTTACAAAAACCCAGATCGGCTATCTTAAGGTACCCTTTCAAATCCACCAGAATGTTCTCAGGTTTCAAATCTCTGTAAAGAATATCGCAATAATGGAGGAATTCCAGAGCTAATATTACTTGAGACGCATAAAACTTCGCGAGAACCTCCGTAAATCTTCGCATCCTGAAAATAAGTTTCATTATTATCATTATTATAAACTATATTCAACTTTACACAAAACTAAAAAATATGACATCAGAACATGTCATATTTTTCAAAGTACTACTATTGATCACTGAAATATTTTGAACAGGCGAATGGTTTATGAACCAAGAGAATGAAATTAACAACAGGTATGTTCGAAAAAAAAAAACATTCAAGTTCTTCATATCCTCATGTATGAAAACAAACTAGTAAAAATGCAATGGAAACCAGCGGCGGCTCGTCAGAGACAAGGGAGGCTTAGCCTTACCATAAAATTTGAGGCTATTCATCGCAATAAAATAAGAGATATTGACAAATAATAATGATTATTTTTTTTCTAAAAATGCTTGGGTATCATTACTTTACCGTTAATTTTTAATATAAATACATAATATGCCCGAAAAAACACTNGCTGGCAGGCGGCTCCGGCAAGAATAAAAACTTATATACAGATTACTAACACACACTTTCTTACAGATTCACACACACACACACAAACATAGTTCGCGACCAAAATACACTTGTCTCCGGTAAGTTTAAGATACCCCCATGCAATCATTATACAGTAAAGTGACAACAAATAAAATCAACAGATCACGAGAGTGAAAGCACCTGAAGGTTGACTTTCGATCGCAGGAGGTCAGATGTCAATCTTGCTGAAGTGCCCATCAGAGGTCTACTCAGGATGAGTGGGGGGTGGATGAACAAGATGCTAGCCTCTGCACACACTAACCGTGTGGGAACGATTCTATCTCAGAGGGCACTCGACCCCGGGGGGCATGGGGGAGCCAGCTTACACTGATGCTACGCAACTCACACGACCGACTCATGATATTAGTTGCATGAGTCGGCCTTGTGTTCAATCTATGTGACTAATCGAGTCAGAAGACGAGGATGTTAGAGTCGTAAGCTCGACATCCATCAGCTCTTCAGACTCAGCATCAGAAATAATTTTCAAGTTTACTCTGTCCATAAAAGTCCCACGAGTAGCTAGGCAAAGAAGATCAATCACGGCAGAGCCCCGCATTACCGTGACAAGGCGATGCAACGACGAGAGGGCGCCCGGTTTCTCGAAGGTTCCGTAGTGACAGCTGATAGGCTCAGTTGTCATTCATCCTCTCGGCACGGATACACACACCTTAGGATTAAGCCATCGTTGGGATGCCATTCAGTTAGGGAATAACTGAACCACAAGTGATTCTGTCGTTCCCGTATCCAGCGGGGCTCAACCCCCACATCCCAAGCCAATACACTCGCCGAAAACAGCATGCACAGTGGTTCAGGCAGTGAAATATGAACAAGGACAGCCAATCCGCCGGAGACATTAACTCAGGATGTATAAACCTCTGAGGAAGCTAAGCACTCGCGCCAGCGAAACGTCAGGAAGAAATTCCAAAAATCCACCGCCTTCAGACACGGAACATAGTTACATTGAAAAACCTCGGCAGCGAAAGCCTTACCCATTTTGCCTACAGTGTTGCTTGAAAACGTTTTTAAATTCTCACTGTCAACTATTTACGCTGTCAATTTTGCTCTCTTTTTCCTTAATTCAATAGTGTCAGCTTCCTTTGTCGGTGTTAACTGACCAGATCCCTATCCGTTGTGTAATATACACTAAAGCACCATATAGCCTTAGCCGTTACCATCCTGCCCGCCACATGCCAGCAAAAAATAAAATCTCGACCCGATACATCAAAGACGCCGACCGGGAGTGAATTTACTTGTGTTCTATACGGTGACTAAGGGAACTTTGTCCTGAGGGTGCAGAAGGCTTGCTTTTCATAATACCTTATTAATGCTTCTTTATTAAATACATTCTTGCACGTCTTCCAACGGCACATCCGATTAAACTATCATTACACAAATGAATATTATTTGCTTGTACTTGCTATGACGACGTGTGGTTCAGTTTCTTCGGCGTTGAGAATAGCTGATACACGTCCTCTCACCCCGACGAGGAAACGTAAACTCGACCTGTCAATTTGTAAGCTACTGCAAATTTTACGAATTGTGATGCCACATTTGTAAAATATAAAATGCAACCCTAATAACTACATACAAGTAATTACCATTTTAACTCGTCAGGTGAGTCCAAAATTTCAGTCCATTCAAAATGTTGAAAAAGTCAGCACAAATTTTGAGTGAAAATTATTCAAGTTTTATTAATGTTTGTTAATTCACCAAAAAAGAGACACGAAATTGTTCAAAATTTGCAGCTCTATAAAATAAAGAACATATTTACCTCCTCAGGTGAGTGAACATTTCTCCTCCATTCACAAATGGCATTACAAAATAGAGATAACTATTATCTTTGAAAGAAAACTCCAATGTTATTATGAAAGGAAAGCGAATAGATTCAGAGATCCGCTTCTCATATAGTGTATGTTCTATTTGCTTCAGCTTGATAATTCTTAATTTTTCGATGCACTTCATAGCATAAAAAGCGTCTTTGTCTCCTTCAGTACGTTTAACTAATATCTAAAAATATGTTTGGTTATCGAAATACGAAGCATTTCTATATAATGAAATGTTATAGGTTCGGATTTCCATTCATCGAAAATGGAACATTTACGGAGTCTGTTCAAAAAATAAGATGAGTTTTCATTTTTCTCAGAAAATATTTATTCATCAATGTCTATTTTGTCCCCTTCAAAGTAGTCCCCCTCAGATATAATACATATGTGCCAGCGTTGGGTTTCCTTTCTTCGTCAAAGAAACATTTATGTGGTCTGTTCAAAAAATAAGATGAGTTTTCATTTTTCTTAGAAAATATTTATTCATCAATGTCTATTTTGTCCCCTTCAAAGTAGTCCCCCTCAGATATAATACATATGTGCCAGCGTTATTTCCAAACCTTGAATCAGTTTTAATATGCACTTTTTGGCATGCCATAAATCTCTCTCTGTTACGGTTTCTATCTCCTCAATCGTCGCAAAACGCCGTCCTTTCATGGGTTTCCTCAATCTCTTGGGAACAGGAAAAAGTCGCAGGGGGACAAATCTGGTCAATACGGTGACTGAGGTATGATTACGGTGTTGATTTTGTCCAAAAAATTACGAACAATCAATGACGGGTGAGCGAGTGCCTTATCGTGATACAAAACCTTGATATTTGATCAAACTTGGCATGCCTTTTTTGGTCTTTGCTCTCTTGGGCCCTTCCATTGCGATGATTGGACTTTGGTTTTGATGTCATAACCATATATATCCATGATTCGTCACCAGTTATCTCTTTTAAGTAAATCTGTATCGCCACTTCTAACGTTTATGCGTTTCACCAACAAACTAAACTCAAGCTAAACAGCTGAAACTGTGAACATATGTTCCAGACGAGTGTTCCAAAATTAAAAAAAAAATAAAAATCGCTAATCGAACGTAAGTAGTCCGCAAAATTTGAACATTCACCTTATTCTTTTGAAGAAACCTCGTATGTTTTAATTAACCGTTCCAATATCATTTTTATTTCAGTCCGAACCTGTAACATTCACCTCTAGAAACATTCTCAAACACATTCAAACAAATATTCCTTTCTCCTCATTTGTCAGTCAGGTAGCAGAATTATATCAATATTTAATTTATATTTACAACATATCAACACTCACTACTCTCCCGAATGAGCCTGTACCCAAAGTTTTGATTTGAACGAATTCCTTCATTCCTTCGATACCCGAAACGGTTTTCTTTTCCCATCTTTGATAGAATTCTTTTCTCAATCTTTCCAATACTTCTCCATAGGCTGATCTATTTCTGTTTTTCTATAACAATATCATATGAAATTACTTGTGAATTCTCAATTCATATTTTCTGATAAATGTAGATTTTCAAATATAGATCGTAATCTGTTTCAATTGCGACAAAGTGTAAACCTTCCTCCAGTCTATTACTCGTAGTCCAGCATAAAAAAACATATCTAATGCTGATGCATGCTCACAAAAAATTGTGACAAACGGGCCCATGGTTTTTGGAATATGTTTAACGTAAAACATCATTTCATTTTGGCCGCTTTCAAACTAATTTGACAGGGCTATAAGGACCCTGCAATGAATGAAGAATGGGACCGTAGGAATAAATCGGACAGAACGTGCTTTGCAGGGAAAAAATTTACATTCGCGACTTTCGTAACAAAGCAGCAAGAATGATTATCTCTGAAATAATTTAATTACATCATACTTGTTAACTATTACTTAGTTATATTATCATCTGTACTCACAGATAGAGCTGAGGACGCAGGTAGTGGCGTAATTGTAGTAGAGAAAGACACCTCCAGCTTCCCTGACTTGTCTTCCATGTGGTTTCTTTCTTTTTTGAGTTTTTCGCGTTTATCATTTTCCTTTTCGTTATACGCAAACTCAGGTTTGTTGGCTTCTTTTTGGGCAAGGTCCATCATTTGAACAATCAGATAAATCAAATTGAGACAGTTTACTTAAATAACTGAATCGTGAAAACGCTTAAACTACTTGATCTTCGAAATCATTGACAGCTATAAATTCTTGATGTTCGAGTATTGTCAAGAAATTTCAAAATTCACTTTGAAAATGTCGCAAATTGAAGTGAAAGCACAAAAACTTCGCGATGAGGCCGTCAAGAAAAGAAACGCGAATGGTTTTTTCAAAACTCTTTTTAGTAAAAGCAACGATACCATAGATGAATCTATAGAGTATTACGCCAGAGCCGCGAATCTGTTCAAGATGGCGAAGAATTGGTCTCAGGCTGGTCATGCTTTTTCGGATGCTGCGGAGCTTAGTCTTCAAAACGAGAGTCAACCGGAGGCTGCTGTTTATTTCATCGAAGCTGCAAATTGTTTCAAAAAATGCGATACTTCGAAAGCAATAGAACTATATCAGAGTGCTATTGCCATTTATAGAGATAAAGGTAGGAAACTTAGGTCATTTTTTGTTGGCTTCATTCCAAATTGTAGTGAATAAATTAATTTTATTATTTTGGTTTGACAAGGTTGAATTAATATACGCTTATTCGTATTATATTAATTATCTACTATGTCCATTGAAAAAGTGCCCAGTCCGTATGTAGATACATTAAAAAGTCAATATGATTTTTGAAATGTCGCAATAACCAAATTATTATTATTATTCGTATGTTGAGCATAATTCTGTATATTTTTATCTTCAGGGAGTAAAAAAACTGCATCAGCCTCCTAATATTCAAGTATATCTTCATACCTTTCAAGATACTTCAAATCTGTTTGAAATCTGTTTTTCCGTTAACCAGCTGTCGCAACTCTACGAACGACAATCCTCAAAAGCCGAGCTAAGGACTAACGAGGCCTTACCTTTTAACGTGTGATTCCTAACACTAATACTATGAAAAGTGGGGTCTCATTTTGATTTACAATATCATTTACCTTCAAAATCAAATACCTTAGCACGATATATGTGTGAATGCTTTTTAATCCATGAGTTTAAATTTAAACAGGTAATAAAATACATCAAAGTTGGAAGATTGGTTTCCACCAATTTTTCCGTTCCAATAGAGCCATACTGTTCAATTGATACAACATTTTTAAAATAACTATAAAGATTTTTTTTAATAAGTTCAATACCTACATACTTGAGTACTGCAATAAGGCGATAATTCGTTTTTTAATTTTAATCTTATTTTTAATGGTGTGATTTTCGTTTACCTATTTGAATTCATTTGAAAATACCCAAGTCTTCAATAGATTATTGAATAGTAGATTCATGTCATGTCATAATATGACCATACTTAGTTTTACTAGGCTCCAAAGCCTAGCGTAATATTTCTATTATGGAGTTATTTTCGATAAGTGACTATTTTGAACTGAAATAAATGTTTTTCATTTTAATTTTTGACAGTATTACACGACAAATATTATGCAAATACGTATGACAAGCACTTAAGAATTGAACAATGTTTTGACGACTTTCTTTTAGAGTAACCTGAAGTCAAAACGGAGTCATATAAAGCAATTAGTTACTTAGGTTAGAATATAGAACAAACAAAAGAACAGGATTCTTGATTGAAAAATTATGGGTTTCTATTGGTTGATAATCTGTATCGTTATGAAAAATCTGTATCATAATGGATATCATTATGAAACGGATTATGGTCATATAAGTGTATTGTTAGAGTACGGGTGTAGAAAAACAATATTTCAGCTGTTAGGCTGTTTAACATACCTACATCGCTTCAAATAAAATTTTAAAGACTGCGATTTATTTGATTCTGATTTTCTTGGAGATAATATAGACGTATACATTTCATCGATCTTACCAAAGGGCTGCATTTTCATAGTTCTTATCGAAGCTAACAAGTTTTTATTCAAGGCAAATACTCGTCTGCTGGCAAATACCATCAAGTTATTGCTGAAATCCTAGAAGACGAATACGACATCCAAGAAGCTGTTGAACATTTCGAAAGGGCCACGGAATATTACAAACAAGAGTGCAATTTTTCTTGTGCCAATAAATGCCTGGAAAAAATTGCTGAATATTCCGCGTTATCAGAAGACTATGATAAGGTGAGATTTCTTTCTCCGACTTTAAATATTGATTCTCCATGACGAAACCTAGGGGAAGCTTACTTAGTCCGGCCGTACACGGACCACATATTTGCTGTTGAGGCAACCACAACATTGTGGACACGTTGACTGCACTTCGCAGTTGACCCAACCACATTTTTGTGGTCGACTTGCGGTCATATAAACCGCACTTGTAGTTGAGGCAACTGACATCAAAAGTTGAATGCTGTGAGACCAATATGTAGGTACGCGGTTGGGTACGACTGCAAGTTTGTAGTTAGTGTACGGCGGATGCCGCGATGACATCTCGGCGGAGATTAGCAGCAAGTTGACTGCAGAAGCCCGTTTTGACTTTTGTGAACGCCCGTGTACATGTAGTACAGTATTTCTTATGGGCGGCTTGAGTTCGCTGGAACGCGACTGCAACTGTGTGGTCGATTCGACCGCAAAATGTGGCTCGTGTACGGGCGCTCTTATGCTCAGGCTTGCCCTTTGAATACAGTTGAATCCAATAGTGCATTTGTGGTCCAACATTGCACCACTAATGCGATCTCTTTTTAAGGACAGAACACAAGCACTACATGAAAATCCCTAAGGCGCTCTAAGAGCGGTGCCTGTGCGAAAGTAGCGATTCACATTGGATTTAAATCGCTGGAGAGTCCACATAAGCGCAGTTCTCCAAATGAAAGGGTTCTTAAACAGTGACGTTTGAGGTGTACTGAGTTGAACCTCAAAACAATGAGCAGCCACAGTCCGTCGCGTATTTCTGATATGTACCTCTCTCGGTGGAATCAATACGCCACTTGAACACTTCTCATGAAAGTATCTATGAAGAGAGACAAATCTCCAACCTTTCTTCGATGTTCCACACCANTGGGACCACACTCCCATAAACGTGAAGTTCTCTAACGATTGAACAACCATTGAGAAGCTCTGGACGGTAGGTAGTTTCCTTAGAACATTTTCGCAACCTGAAAGAATATCAAAAACAATTTTATTTCCCAAAAAACAAATTTCTAGAAAGGAAACGATTTAACCATAAGAAAAAATTAATCAATGATTCTTACTATTTTTGGGTATATAACCTTCTATAAACTAAAAAATAAACAAAACTGAATCAATAGAGAAGTCTAATAAAGAGCAAACTGAAAAGTTCAGCCTGAAAAGTTACCTCTCACCTTAGCAATATGGCAACCAGATACGAAAAAACTTAAGAGTGTTTTTCCAATATAGTTCGTTTCTGTGGAAAAATTATATAAGTGAAACCTTAGGACCCCTAGATGTGAGAAAAAATGAAAATCATAGAAACTCATGGAAAAATGAAAAAACTCAAAGAATTCACATATACTCTTCTACCAGGTAACAAGTGTATCTCAAATACCTCTGTGAAAATAGATCAAACCTGGTTGTCATTGAAATTATTATTGTATTGGCTATAAGTAATTGATATGTCATGGTTTATATGCAGAAAGAAAGAAGTTAAGATTACAAAATATGAAACCAAGAAGTCTTCAATGGACTAATCATATCTTATTCAGGCCATTGGGTATGATAACTACTCAAAACCCTTCAAAAACCTACAAAAATATACAAAATTACACACCGAAATAATCAACCCAACACTGTAAACACTCTTCAAAACAAGCACAACCTATTTTCATTTATCTGTGATTCATGCTGTTCTACATTTTTATTCTAATTATTTTTTTAACAGACCTTGTGCATACCTAGTAATTTTATAGCAGAAGAATTCTCAATTTTCAGTTGTATTGAAACATGAAAGTTTTGAAAAAAAAACAGATCTAAAATAATGAAACAGCAACAAACCTGAGCAACCCTACAAGGATATCTTGAGCAGGATCTTCATAGCTTAGAAACGTTTCCCATCCACCATTAGCGACATAATCTCTTCTGACACGTTCGATGTCGTTTGGTCGAACTTTTTCGTGGATTTCAGTAATTCCGACCTCTCTGGTACGGACATCCCTACACTTCAGTCCGAGATCTTTCATCCTATCGAGAGCCAGCTCTCGGAGATTGCCATGCTCAACTCCAGAACTATCAATAATATATTATCACTTGAAATCATGAAATTGTTTTCCAAAAAAATATAAAAATTATTTCAGTCTTCGATTAATGTACAATAGATTCAAAAGTTTTGTATCACTTTTGTAAAGTCAATAACTTATTTTGGTGAAATGAGTATAAAAGACTAGCAGAATAATCAAAATGGGGTTGGATTATACAATTATATGATGTAATTTTTGGGTACATCAAAAGCTAAGATGAAATTCTTGAGAAAAAATATTTTACATATTCTTCTAACCTAAGTATTTGAATTCACTTAGGAACTCTATTTCATCACCTGCAATTTGTAATCTTATGTTGTGTCTGTTTTTTAACCCCCCCTCACCACTAGCATCAAACCGGAATTTATTTTGCCAGAGAAATTTTGAAATAGATCTNAAAGTTATAATTAAAATTAGTAACTCAAAATTTTAGGAATTAATATAAGTAAGTCAAGATTTTAAAAATTAATATTGAAAAACGAAACACATTTTAAAAGTTGAGAAACAAAAATACATTTTTAAAAGTTGAAAAACTCTTCTATACTATAAAATATTTGTTCTGTTATAAAACGTTTGAGTTCGACATGTTAGACATATTACAGGTATCTCGTCAGTCTGGATGATTTGACGTTTGAAGAAGTTATGTGTCTAAAAAGTTTAAGATCATCAGCATAAAGTAAGATTTTTGAGTGTTGACATACCTCAGTAATATCATTGATAAATTATATCAAAATCTGCTTTTCCGTTAACCAATTATGGTCATATCAATTAAATCTTCAATCAGTTCAATTTTTTTTTTTATCAGATAGTTCAATTTCTCTTCAATATTTTAGATTTTCATTGATGAATTTCCATGTTTCTCCTTAGATCTAACAATTTGAAGGTTTTACATCTAGATATATAATTTAAATGTAATTATGATTGAATAGAATATGCTTACGTTACAAGGGGCATAGGTATGTCTCTTTGAACTCTGTACACTCTGGTCCAAGGGGGTACCAAAGCCAATATTTTTGCTATCAAATCCACAAGAACTGAGGGTGGGTAACTCTTGTAACGACCTGTTTTATACAGCTCATACAAGCCTGTACCCCTTATGACAAGGGTGGGATAGATTTTCAAACCATCTGCTCGAAAAGCAGGGTTTTCAAAAAACTCCTGAAAAATTAGAAAATAATAATTTTGAGCTGGCTTTATATGATGAGTAATACAAATTATAAATATTTGTTATTCATTTAACATCAATATATATAAAAGATAAATGTCCTGTCTCTCAACATTTGTTTCGCTAACCAAGTTAGCACCATCAAGAGATACGAACTATCTCTGATGATGTTAACTTAGTAAAACACACATCAAGAGACAGTATTTTTATTCTTGTGTGAGAAAAGTCTTTCAAAAGATTCACTTTACACTAGAGGATCCAATTCTACCTATCAAATTAAATATCATAACTTATTGTGAACTTGGAACAGAATTTATCATTTTAACTTTTTTTTCAATGCGTTACTGCATAGTTGAATCTACTCCAGCACACAATTTTTAATATTTTACTCACAATAAACTGCTCAATGTCTCTTTCATAGTCAACGTTTGGTAAATCTGGCATCATATGAGTGACAACTTTGAAACCTGCATCTTTGGCAAGTTTGAAAGTACCACAAACTGCCTTGACGGTGTGTCCTCTGTTAGTATCTAATGCCACGTCTTCGTATACTGACTGTACCCCAATTTCCAACCTCGTACACCCATATTTCAACATATCCGACAAATGCTTCTCCAAGCAATAATCCGGCCTTGTTTCGATTGTGATACCTATACATTTTGTATTGGATCTTTCTGAATATATCACTGCTTCTTCCACAGAATTGCTTTTGTGGCCCGATAAGGCATCATGTAAATTCCTAATGAAGTAGTCACGATAGTCATCAGGAAGACTCATGAATGTGCCACCCATTACTATGAATTCTACTTTATCCACCGAATGGCCAAGCTGTTTCAGCTGTTCAACGCGATGCCTAGTTTGCACATAAGGATCATATCGAGCTCTAATCGCCCTCATGGAAGTTGGTTCATAGCCTGTATAACTTTGAGTTGAGTATTCAAAATCAGAATCAGGCCCACCTGGGCAATATACACAAATATTTCCTGTCAAATTTATGTGGGGGCATCGGTGGGGTTTACACATCACAGCTACTACAGCAATCTAAAATAAAAAGCTACAATTATTGAAAAACTAACAAATCAAAAACAGATTCATTGAAATATGTATAACCCTAATGAAACAATATTGCTAATGTATGGCTGCAGTTACCTATGTTTGGGCTCAATGCAAAGAAAACTGTGTGAGAGTAACTTTCCTAAAAGGAATTTCTTAGAAAGATATATCAAAATGGTAAAGAAAATTCAAAGAACATCTTGTAAAATTCATTTCATTTCCATTTAAGTTTTTTGGTTTTTGGACAAATTTATTTAATTCTAACGTTGGTAAATATTGCACAATCCCATATGGTACAATTGTCCTGCAGAAGATAGTGAAAACTGTCAAAAGCTTGACAAAATTCACAGAGTTTTCTTTGCAAAAACATCTCACATTAAGGAGCTAGTCACTAATTCGCGTTATATATAATTGGTTGCATTAAAGAGATATAGCACTGATGAGTAGTATTCAAAATGAGATTGAAAAATGAGAAACTGTTATTGTGGTTCGCAATGATAAATCTCGTGCAATTCTAAAAAAAATAAAATGGTTTATCCGAAACTCACCCCGCTGGCAGTTCTAATAGGTTTTGCCAACAACTTAGGAACTAGAATCTTCTTGTAAGCTTGTGGAACAGCAGCAATTATATCGACTAAACGTGGAGATGTGTCAAGGCCATACTTTGAAGATATTCTATGTTTCAGGGCATTTAAGTTAATGTCTTTTCTCAATTGATGGGCTGTGATCAGTTCCCGAACGACTTCGGTCACAGTAATAACTTTTCGCTCTTCGATTGACAGGTGGCCATACTCTTGAAAAAATATATATCGATGTAAATGATAGGACGGAGGCTTCTCACTCGCCACTATATTCAACCATGGTCGGTGCCAAGAGATTCCCTTTGAGTGAACTATTTTTGACTTTGGTCTCATACATTGCAGAGCTGGAAGAAAGCTGACCAGAATCATTGGCCATAGTAAGCTGACCAGAATCATTGGCCATAGTAAGCTGACCAGAATCATTGGCCATAGTCGAACAATTCTCATCCATGGTTGAATATTGTCGAGAATGAAAAGCAATTTCATTAATATTCTGAATTTGAAAAAAATATAAAACAAAGTGTTCCTTTAGCAGTTTATTAATAAACACGTTTAGATTTTTTTTGAATGATGAGTGGAAAATGACTCACCATTCTTTTTCTTTCCCATAATTTCAAATTTGTCAAAAATGGGTTTTAAAATAAGTATCAATCACCTAACCTCAAATAATTCTATCATCTATCTGTCACATGAACTCATGAACATGAACATGACTTGACATGACCCGATGACCCGTACCCACAGAACACTGAAAACTAGTTTCTATTTGTGAACTCAATAATTGTAATATATGTTATATACATATTAAGAATAAAAAAAACAGTTAGTCATACTTGAATAACAAATCAAAGAATAAAGATAAAATATAAATATAAACACATAAAACACGGCACCTAATATATAAATGTTACAATTCAAAAACAAATACATATATTATATTACATTGGGAATTAATCCCAGGAATTATCACTCCAATAGCCTTTTAAACTATAAAAACATTTTTTTTGTTAAGAATAGTTTTGTATTATTCTTAAAGATTTTATATGATTTTGACTCCTTGATTGAATCAGGTAATTTATTGTAAAGTGAGATAGCATTGGATATTGGAGAATTTTTAAATTTATTTGATTTGTGTGAGGGTATCCTTAACATACCACCATGGTGTGTATGCTAATTATGAGTAGAACCATTCGTTAAGGCTTTAGCGGCCGAAATGCATCCTAGGATGCAGTTCCAAACAACGACGGCCTTCAAACACGAATGAAGATAGTAACCACTGAAATGTGTTGTTTCTCAGTTTCACCAAAAATTGTTCAAAAAGAAAGCGGCTTGTATCATTGACAAGTGATTTTTTACATACCCTCGCCCCAAAACAGTATATTTTTATTCAATTTGCTTCTCGTATTTTTAAATTCTAACGTTAGTTCAGTGTTATTGATAACGATATTATTGCTTATGTCGGAGCCACACTAACGAGAAATGCCATTAATTATCGCGATAATGGACGTTAACCGTAGGTGTAGCCACGCGACTCAACGCGATAATTTGACAACGGCAGTAACATTGCCGTTTGGCGTTAGGTGATAGCTCGAGTGGCGGTTCATCAAAGAGATTAACGCAAGAATTGATGCGATAAAGCGGCCATACTACGTCAGACGTTCACCTTCGAAGTAAAATTAACGCCGTTTTTATCGCCAATCATAGGCATTCACGTTGATTAGGACGGAAACGAAAGAATTCTTAAACTAGGTTTAATTCAAATTTAAAATGATATCAATACTTAAATATTGAAATTTTAGTAAATTCAAAGATATCATGATTTCCTCACAAGTAACAGAAATCTCAAATTATAATTTTGAGAAACATCAAAGATTTGATGAAAACCATAGGACTAAAATCTGAATTTCAATTCTGTGATTGAAACAGACTTCAAAATTTGAAAACTGAACACCAGTTTGTGAAAAAAAAAATTATAGAATCACTTTAAAAAATCCACGGTTTCACCTTAAAATTTCGTTTCAAACTAAAAAGCTTGATACAAGACATCTTCTGGAAAATATTTGAAAATTACGTAAAAAGATTTCTGCACGAAATGAAATTTCAAATTATAGTACGCACATTCCTCACATCGATTGAACTGCCACAGTCCTTCAAGTTTGGCATTTTTCAAGTTTTCTCAGTCAGCAAATGGCGTCGTAAGTGGAGGTTTACGATTTTTTTCTTTCAGATAATGACTGAATTTCGTTGCGTGCTTTTTAATGAAATAATTTTGTGAAATTATTGTATTTAAATGTGTCATCAAATGTGAAATAGTGCTATGAGTTCCCTGAACAACTATAAAGCCAGATTTGTGTTGAATCATTGAAGTTGTTAGTGAGTTTTAACAATGAATGAAGAAATAGAAATCAAAGAAGAAAAAATCATTCCTATATGGCCTCCGCTGGATCCTGGGCCCATACAAATGCCCCCTTCGCATCTCAATATGCCCGTACCCAATATTCCTCAGGGTCCCCCATTGAGTCAAGGTGTAGAATATGAACTACCCTTGGAAATTCAGCAACAAGGTACTTATTTATTTTTGAGTTTCAAACGTTTTTTTTATTTAATTGAAAAGGAAAATGATTTTAGGATAAATAAGTTTTTGGGAAAAAATATCTATCACTTTGTAGAAAGTGGAAAACTTTTGAAGAAAGGAAGAACAAATACTTTTCACAAAGATGTGTAGATCATGCATGAAGTTTCTTTCAGTTACTAACTGGAAGAAAAACCACCCATCTGAAATAAATTTCAGCTACATACTCCAGAGTAATTAAAAACTTAGAAATTGGTAACCATTCGATCGCAGAAAATATTCGCTTCTGATGATAACACCTTACACAGTAGGGGTATTTTAACGAAATTCAATGAGCATACGTGTTTGAAAGTAGCTGTTTCGGATGATGTTTGTCTTTTCATTTTATACCTGACACGACTTTCCATGCAAGATCTACACATTTTCGTAAAGAATTTTCATTTGTGTATACTTCCTATGTTCGGCAGTTCCACTTTCTATATAAAGGTGATTTTTCATATTCCTCGATTTAAACAATGTAATATTTGAAATTTTGGTAGGATGGAAAAAGTTTTGGTCAAAAAGAGAAAACCGGCCATATTTTTGGAACAAATTAACTGGCGAAAGCCTTTGGGAAATGCCTGTGATCAAGCCGCAGTTTGATCCTATCACTGATCCGTTGGGTATTTGTGCACCTCCTCCCACTGCGCCTATACCACTGGCTCATACTGCTCCACCGGTTCCAATCATGAAGAGGAGAGCTTCCGAAGAGGTGGCAGGACCTAATGCGAAGAAATTTATTTTAGCCGGACCATGGGACCTAGACGTTCCTACCAATGTTATTATTCTGGAAAGAGCCCCCTGCTTCTACATGCACTCTCACCCCGAAGTTGAAGCATATCGCTGTAGTTTATTAACAAAGTTGAGGCAAAGCTATCAAGAGGTGTGTCATTCCAGAGAATCAATCGATGCTCCCAAAGATTCTTTCAATAGATGGTTGATGGAGAGAAAGGTTATCGATACTGGTTAGAAAGTTCTTTTATGTATATTTCCACTGAAACTTGGGTAAATATTCGTTATAACGGCTTACCTAACTTACATATTTTTTTCTACCAATAACAAGACAAAACCAGGCATTCCAGTATTCTTTCGGAGATAAGTCCACTCAAATGTCAAAACTGTCAAAAAATGTACCTTGAAAGGAATATTTACTCAAAAATGTTGAACGAGAACACAAGCATCTTAGCTCAATTTAAATTATTTTCCAGGTTATGATCCTCTTCTACCTAGCAACTGTTATCCAGAAATCTCCCTCTCTATGTATAGAGAAATAATGAACGATATACCAATCAAGTTAGTCAGACCAAAATTCACAGGTGACGCAAGAAAACAACTCTCTAGGTATGCAGAGGCAGCAAAAAAAATAATGGAATCTCGAAATGCTGAAGCGGAAAGTCGAAAAGTAGTCAAATGGAATGTTGACGAAACTTTCCAGTGGCTGAGGAAAACAGTTGGAGCAACATATGATGATTTCCAGGATAGGCTGTCTCATCTCAAACAACAGTGTCAACCACATCTTTCGGAAACTGTAAGAAACTATTATAGTTTTCAAATGTTCATTTATTTATTTATAAATGCCTACAGAACAAATAAAAAAAATTATAACACAAATCACAAACATCAAGGAAATGAAATGTGTGACTTTCAAATGATAAAAAAATGTTAGTGCATTATCACAAGTTGAGTTAGTAGGCCTACCACTACCCTTACAATCTTGCGGTTGTGGTTTAGCAGGTCTTCTGTGAATTTGTGCCAGGGTTCCTTTATGAACTTTTTCACCTTCCTCATTGCTGGAATATTGTTCCACCAATTTTGCGATTTGGCTTGTATCTATGAATTGAAAAATGTCTTTATACTTGTCTTCACAATCCACAGGAGGGTTCTGGACCTATCATGGCCTTGGATGCACCTTCACAGGCTAAAGCATTGGCCTCCTCATTGCCTTGTGCTGAGGGCCTGGCTGCCATACAAAATGGCTATAATTATGTATTCAACCTTCTGCGTGAGCAATTCTCCTATGCAGTGATCGATAGCGGTAACTTCTGCCTGAAACATTATTGCGTTCTGTCCGAGGTTGAGTAGGATTTTTGTCTTCGCTCTGCCTCCATATATGCTGGCTCCTACTTCTTGGGCTTTTGGGTCGTCCGTATACCAAGTTTCCTCCGCTTTAACCCGTGGGCTGTTTTTCCAGTCCCCTCTGCTTGGTGTAATAGCTTTGAAACGTTAATAACCTTCGGTTTTTCAGGCTCGTTTTTGCATATATATTTGTAGTGGTAGACGGCCAAGCAGAACCTCTCAAGAACTGCACTTGAGGTCGTTCTCATTGTTCCCATGACATTCAGGCATGCCAACCTTTGAATGCCACTAGTCGTCCCCAATTGCTTTGTTCTTGTCCGTCACGTTACCACCATATGTTATCATGGGTTTCACTACCCTTGTATGTAGCATGGTGTAATGTTTGGGTTCAACTCCACATTTTTCCGCACATTCTTCTGCAGATTCACAGGTCTATACTGGCCTTATGGGATGTTTTTTGAATGTGAAGATTCCACATAAGCCTTCGGTCAAAAATGTTTTTTGACAGAGAAGGCACATAGGCGAAGATGAATATTATATATATTTCGCGCTATACTGCCGTTTCTTCTTTTTTGCTTCCGACATAATTTTGTCTTCAAAAATGCCAAAGTAAATATTCGAGTATTAAAAACTTGCTAATGACACCACTCACAGTATTCACCACCCCACGTACAGCACTAGCTAGTCGCTAACTAAATTCAATTGTTTTCGTAATATCGTCGAATAACATTACTGGCTGGATGGCGCGCGCGCTTTTATATGAGGCAGCGGGCGGGCCTAGTACTTTCGAGAATGGAAACTAGAAACTTCTCGCTTCGCATTGAAGCTTACCGCCATCTATTGTACAATTTGACAACTATCGGACAGGAAATAGTTACTGTCTAGTCCCCTAGATGGCGTTAGACGAGGAAACGCGCGTTAAGCGTAAAGGAGCGGTAAAGTTTGTGTTAAAAGCAAAACAACATTTTTAAATTAGCCATCGCCCCTCTAAACCGCTTCAACGCCCCCCCAATCTTCTCTGTGCCCTTTACTGCCCCCCTATAGGCCTCCAGCGCCCACAAGTTGGCGTTATCGCCCACTTTGAGAAAGACTAGTCAAAAGTCATCCCCAGGTGTTCGACTGACATGGCGAATGGAAGTGAAAGACATATATAGAGGGATTTTCTTGTGTAATTTCTCTGTAGCCTACAAATGAAGGAAGTGTTTTCATAATTTGTTCGATAATTTTGCAAAGAAAAAACTGACTTATCAGGAATTTCTCTAGTCTCAGTGTGAAAGAAATGATTCTACAGTATTTCAGAATAATCAATAGTGTGGTAACAAATTCAAAAAAGAAAATATAGCGTAGCTAGTTTGCGACTATCCTCAAGAGTTTGAAGGTAAATTATTGTATGTCTATCGTTTGAATTAGTTCCATGAAAACACGAGTTCATTTTCCAAGTAACAAATTTGGTAAAGCAATTCAGTTCTTTCTAATCTTTCCTTATAACCTGACTAAAATGGTAAACATACAATACTGTTATATTCAAGAATAATATGAACCAATGATTTGATTGCGTTGAAATCAGACAGTTTGTAGATTGTCACTGTCAATAAAATAGTCTCACTCAAACGAGTTACGTGATTTGAAAAATCACATTGCTTTGCACTTATTGACTTTGACGTACAGAAAATCAGTCTTGCAGTAGGTATCTGTAGAATTTATCTGATGCAAGGTAAAACTGGATTTAGGTCAGTCGAATCAATCAATCAAATCAATTTATTATTCACAAAAAAAAAAACATAAATATTCAATCAACAAATATCAAAGACAGATGCATCTTTATCGGAGTAGTCAGAAAAATGGGAAGTAAATATGTATTTTAGATAATTAACATACAGTTAAAATACAAGAAAGTTATAATTAAAATTAGTAACTCAAAATTTTAGGAATTAATATAAGTAAGTCAAGATTTTAAAAATTAATATTGAAAAACGAAACACATTTTAAAAGTTGAGAAACTCTTCTATACTATAAAATATTTGTTCTGTTATAAAACGTTTGAGTTCGACATGTTAGACATATTACAGGTATCTCGTCAGTCTGGATGATTTGACGTTTGAAGAAGTTATGTGTCTAAAAAGTTTAAGATCATCAGCATAAAGTAAGATTTTTGAGTGTTGACATACCTCAGTAATATCATTGATAAATTATATCAAAATCTGCTTTTCCGTTAACCAATTATGGCCCCCTATGAACGACAAATCGAAACTTGTCCGAACTAAGGATTCACAAGGTCTTATCTTTCAACGTGCAGTTCCTAGCACAACATAGATTAATAAAAAAAATAGCCATCATGCGTTCATTGAGGAGCATCTGGATTTACCTTTAATAATTTGAATATACTATCAACAAGTTTCAAATTTTGTGTTCCATTACTCAAGTAACAGTCAGTTCAAGTAGCAAGCAACCTTAACAACTTGAAAGCCTTTACAACTTAGAATAGAATAGAATATCCTTTATTCGCCTTAAAAAATTACAATAGAATTATAAGAATACCATAAAAACACTAAATGAATAAATAAAAAATAAACAAATAAGGAAATGAGATGTGAACAATTTCAATATAAATGTCACTGTCTACGTAGATTATGAATTCAAAATATTAGTTGGAGTTGAAGTCGTATGATAAGAATTCGTCGATACTATAAAA